CGGCACTAAGCACGCGACTGCCTGTTGCCACCATAATGGCGAGGGCGGCCTCATGCAACTCCGAATGGTCATCCAACAAGGCATGCCGAAATTGCGTTAGAATATTTTTGAACAAGCCGGCTTCAGCCAGCTGCTGCGCATTGGCGCTCAGCTGACACAAATTCTGCAGGATGGCCAGCACCTCCCGCTGCAAAAGCCAAGAGGGAGAGGGATTGAGGGAAGCTCAGGCACGACCAGCTCGTTCGTTTCAGTTGGGCTGATGCCAATAGCAAGAGCACTTGAATTAGTAATCTAACCTGCACATCGGGTCCCATGGAGTCCAGTAGGGGCATTAAAATCTGGGTGATGGCACTGGCATTGATAATGGGCATGACCTGCCATCGGTTTGATCACCGGTTGACACAAATAAGTTGACCGTTAAAAATGCAGTTTCGAGGGACCTGATGCGGCGGGGTGATGTGCATGGGCCTCAAGCCATGATTCGCGACGTGCCTGGTTCAGCGGCAGTGCTTCACTGCCAAAAGAAGCCCCGGCAACTTGGATTGCAAAGCGCACGATACGACGCGGGGCATCTGGGCTTAGCTCTAGAATCCGAGACAATTGAATGCTGTTGACGATGGACTCATAACGCACATCCCGTTCGAAGGTCTGAGCGAACATGTCAAACGTTTGGCGACAGAAAAAAAAACCAAAACAAAACAAAACAAAACAAAGCAAAAACAAAAGAAAAAGAGGAGATCGAAACGGATCAGTGTTATGAATGAGTAAAAAAAAAAGGGAAGACGAAGGTGTGTCCATGTCAAAAATGACAAGACATGCTCGACCCAGATAAATCTTGGATCAACACAACATCCACAAAGAGATACAGAATACCTGCAAGTTGATGCGAGAGTGCAACGTGGCAGCGGTGATTGTGTGTAACACCGATTCCAGCAGCTCCAACTTCCGAGCAACGGCATCTGGGCAACCACCAACCAAGGTACGCAGAGGTCAGCAATGTGCATTTCTGGTTGTGCTGAGCTTTTCAGCTCAGAAGAGCCCATTTCAGACACACCACCTACCCATGTCCTTGGATGGCGCACCCCCGGGCAAAAAGGTGCCCACATCTTCAGCTTCAACATCAGACAGGCCCACCAGTGCATGAATGACGTATACAAAGCCATGGACCTAAAACGTTTCCGGTGGACAGACAGGAGACAAACAGACACGAGCACGTAGAAATGAGGAAAAAAAAAAAAACAACAACAAAAAAACAAAAACAAAAACAAAAACGGGGGAGCATGATGTTGGGGACTTTGCTCATGAGTTGATGAAGCGGCGAACACCTACCTCACGAAAATAGTCCTTGACACGGTGGTCCAACGCAAAAAGGCGAACCACGGTTCGCAAGATGTCAATTTTGACTCCAAATGCGTCGGGGCGAGTACTCTGCATGAGCTCAAGGAGGGTTGCCAGGTCTTCGCGACCCAGCGCACCATCGTGTCCCAAAATCAGCTGCTGCACGACGCGCAAAGCCTGCCAGCGATGCTGTGTCAGGGCAATCATGTTGTACAGCGCACGGGCGCCATTTTTCGAGCGAAATCGTTCAGCATTTTCCTACACACGAGACAAGAGATCGACGCACAGCGGGTGTATGAACTTTTTGCGCAGGTGCATTGTTGCAATGCAATGACCAAATGCAAGCCCCCAACAAACCTTGCGATCCGTGAGCAAGAGAGCTAAGCATTCAAGCAGGAGGCTGTGATCCTCGGCATTTGCCAGCTCTGGTGTTGAGGGACGCGTACCAAATGGGTCCTTGCGAAGAGGGAGGAGATACGAGATATAATCGGTGGATGAGCAGGTCATCGACTGTGGTTGCCCCTCTGCTTTCAAAAGTCATTCAAACCGCTGCTGCTCTCCAAGAATACATCAAGCAAAAGTTTTGAACAAAACCAAAGCAAACTGCAGTCCCGCTTACCTCCATGGTTGGGTTGCGTTGGCATTCATAGAGCGAGTTGCTAGCCGACGACTCTTTGAGCTGGTTGCTAATCCAAACCAGGCGCTCGATCATAACATCCAGCAAGCCAAGGTGTAAGCAGACATCAGCATACTTGCTATTGAAATTGACAAACTTGATAACCGTGTTCATGCTAAGAGTCAAGACACTTGCTGAAGTGGGATGTGCAAGCTTGCGCGTAAGAATGCGAAGTTCTTCCTCGGGTACGTAATTGATGCTGCAAACTACAAACTCAAGTAGTTTGAATACTTTCAGCTGAACGTCGGGAAGGAAGCGCTCAAGCTCCTCCAGGAGCGTGCTTAGGACGCGCTCCTCTTGCATCACAAAGTAGTTGGCATGATCACGGGTGAAGATTTCAAAGATGGCGTCGAGCACGGCCACCTGGATCTCATCAGACTGCGCCTTGAGAAGCGTGGAGAGCATTGTTCGCAATACGAAGAGGTTGCGCACAACTGGTCCGTCGGTATGCGCAGGTGGAAAGCGAAAGGAGGGGTCTTGGTAGGGGCTGGTCAGCTGTCGGTAACGCACGTTGGTTAGGCCAGCAAAAGCAAGCTGGCCGAAAGCTGCAAGAAGGCCCTGGCCTGCCTTTACCAGCGTATCCAATTGCGCCTGCACAGCAGCACTAGCAGTTGCATCCAGAGTCGTAGGCGAGTTGTTCTCATCCTCGCAGTCTGTGGCCCGCGTAGTGGTCGCCACAGCAGAATGGCGCCGCAGACGGGGCAGCTGCTGACTGAGGCGTGCACATTTGGCATCCAAAGCAACGGCGACCTGCTTGACGCGCTTGTAGCCTTCCTCAAGCCGAAAATCTTCGAGGAGATGACTAGAGCGCAAGCGACTTGTGGCGGCAACCACACTAGCCAGCGTGGCTACTATATCGGCTTGCTCAGCGGGATCTGACCCAGCGGAACCGGCCTTGAAGACATGGTCGAGAGTAGACTTGACAAGGCCGGCTTTGTAGACTTGCGAGACCATTTCGGGTGAGGTGTTGTGGGAAAAGAGCACACACAATGCCTTCATGGCCAGTTTGCGCCAGCGGTAGTTGGTGGGGTGGCACGGCGTGATGACAAGTTCAAAGAGGCGTGCAACTTCGTTGACAGCATCTTTTGGGCCGTGTGCACGGCTAATCGCCGTACCTGCGGCTGGAACGCGCAAAAGGCCAAGCAGCACTGCCTCATACTTGCTGCAAAACGTTTCAATGGCTGAACCCTGACTGTCAACGAGAGCTGGATCAAGGTCAAGAAAGAGATAAAGAGCCTTGATCAAGTGCGTAGGTAGCATGAGCTCGACCATGGGCTTGGCAGTGGTTGGTCCCAAGCCGATGAGTAGCTGGAGGGCATCGAGGAGTAGAAGGCCCGCAGGCCCAGAGAGATAGCTGACAACGTCACCGGCAGCCGTGACGGTGTCTTTGCCCCCCGCCTTACTTCGAATCTGCAGAGCCGTTTCACGGGCCACGTGCATGGCAAAGGATTGAAGCGACTCACGACGAAACGCTTTCTCAATGCTGTCGGAAGATGCCGCTTTGTAAATTGCCAGAAACTGGCGAATGATGTCCGGGAGTCGATCGCTCTTTCCTTGTTCATCTTTGAGGAGTTCAAAATCAAAGAAGCTGGCGCGCAATTGCCCAACCTCCAGAGACACGGCCTCCTTGGGCGGTTTGCTCCGAGGGCTGGACGAAGCAGCTGCTGGACTGGCAAGAGCGGAGGAAGGCGTTGCGCTGGAAGCCGTGCCTGTGTGTGATTATTGCAATGACCGCGAGAGCCAAAGGCCAACCATAGCCAGTAAGTAGGGAAGAGTGGGGTTGGTGCAAGCGGCTGGCTCAGCGAGATCCATAGCGGCTACGCACCTTGAGATGGGCGTGGATGCGTTTGAGGCGCGCGGCCCAATTTAAACCAGCTCATAATGTCGGTTGCTTCGCGCCGCAGCGCCCCGCACAAGAGCAGCAGCCCGCGGTCGGCTAAAATGAGGGACACACCGAATTTGATTTCAACGCGACAGAGTGAGAAACAAGCGCGCCGTGGCAATGTGCACATAAGAAGCGCGCGCAGGAGTCTTGGACAAGAAACAAGAAATAAGAAAAGCAAACGCATAAAAAAGCTCACGTACCAAAGACTCAAACCACAAATCACAGCCGTCAAGTGTGCCTCTCAGCTCATGATGAATGGTCGGCTGAACGCAGAGTCTTAGGCGCACGCTCTGAGATAAGGAGGCCTTTCTCCGTAGGGCGATTTGCTGCTGCGTTCCTCGACCAACTTGTAAAAAAAGGCGTACTCAAAGTCGGACGGAGCGCAAGGGGGCGAGAAATGAGCATCTATTCCCAGAGCACGATCAGCATGACCTCCCGAGTGCGTGAGTGTGGCCGGCGCAAGCGTTCATCAAGGGACAGAGGATCGATATGATTATCACCATCGTGAGGAGGAAACCAGCCAGCAAGCCTGAGAAAAGACCAGCATGGCAGTACCAATGGATTTTAAATCAAGCGTGCTGAGGTTGGCTGCGGATGCGTACCGATCAGCCCAGAAAACTCAGAGACGCAGTATCGTTGCCGTTGCCGTTGCTGCTGCTGCTGCTGCTGCTGCTGAGAGAGAGGACGCACTGGTCTCAAGTGCACAACATCACTTCTCTCTCTCTTGTGATGTTTGACACATTACAGATACAGAATGCGAAGGCAGTGAAGAGGGTGTTTGCTTGTGCCACTGGCTGGAACTACGTGTGCAGCTGAAAAGAAGCTGATTTTGTAGTCTTATGAAGACTTGTTGCGGTGCTAAACGGGTTACCAGCTTGAGCTTATGTAGAAGAATTAATTATAGTTTGTTGATTTTTTTGAATCAAGCAATCATGTTGCTTTCCGAGGTTGGTCGGCACAGGGCGGTGGCTTGATCGTGCTGGGGACTGAGCCTCGCTGCATGCTGTGAGGGGATCCCATGTGCTCTTGACGGGCCATGGCGGGGTTGATGTTTCTTCTTTGACGTTCCTTCTTTTCCCTTGGGACTGCGGTTTGTGGTTGATGGTGGGCTCACGCGGCTGGGGCTTGCAGATCATTTTTCGCCGCTACGATCGCGATGGCTCGGGCACGATCTCGGCCTCCGAGTTGACCGAGGTAGGTGGTCTGCTGGCTCCTGACGGTGCATCAATTTACATGTTAAATCGCAGGTCACATGCGGTGTTGGTGTGAAACGTGTTGCATTGACTCCGAGATGCTGCTTGGCCTTTTAGGTCGCCTACAAAATGGGCCATCCCATGACAGAGGAGCAAGTGCGGGCAGGCCTCAAACTGATTGACCGTGAGCCATGCATGGCCATGCTATGGGATTTGTGACACAAGGCATCGAAAAAAAAAAAAAACACAGAGCAGAAGGGGATTGCTCTGCATGATGCAATTGCTCAGTATCGGTTCCACGCTCCCTGCGCAGTGGATGGCAGCGGCGAACTCAACTACAGCGAGTTTAAGCGCTGGTGGTAAGTCTAGCCGCCCCGCCCCCCTCTGCTCATGCCTGTCCATGCCTCTGCCGTGAGGTTAAGTCTGAAACGCACTCATCAGGCCATTGCCATTTCGTATCTAGGGCTAACAAAGACCGCTTCACCCAGTTGGAGGATCAACCTGCGCATGAAGACGAGCAAGCTGCCGAGCAAGATATGGCAGCAGCTGCGGCCTGGACAAAAGTAAGGTGCTCCTCCCTTGCCCGTCGAACAATGTCGATTTACGTGTTGATCTGAGTTTCATCTTTGAATGCATGTTGCTCTGTTTAGTGGGTTGACTCAGTCGTGGCACACTTTGAGTTCTTCGACAAGGTGCGGCTTGTTGACCTGCCGGGCGCCTGTCTGTCTACAGCAGCGAGCGTCCCGTGACAGAGGGTCTCCGACCCTCGCCTACATCATGTGCCATGCATGTTTTGCTCGCTTCGCGTGCAAGCAAGTGTGCTTGTCTTCTGGTGATATCTTCTCACATTTGGAATGTGGCCTTGCTAGGATCATTCGGGCTCCATCTCTCGTGATGAGTTTGGCGAGTTATTTCAGAATTTGCGCGGCAACGGGTACGTCTAACACGACACAAACCAGACGCTTTCAAAAACAACAATAGCAACAATGATGCAAAGCAGATACGATAGATCAAACAGACAAACAAGGGGGCGAGCAAGGAACGGCAGCTGGGCATTCTTTTTATTCTTATTGTTTGTGGGTGGGGGTGGGGGTGGGGGCGGGGGTGGGGGTGGGGTGTTGTTCTGGCACGATGCGGTTGCTTCGAGACCAGACCAACGGTTCCTGAGCCGAGCGTATTCACATCCAGTTTGTGAAATTACTTGCTTTAGGTACGACCTTCCATCCACACCCGATGCTGCCCTGGCAGTCTTGGACGCCAACGGCGATGGGTCCGTGTCCTTGCGCGAATACGTACAGTGGATGCGTCGAACCGGTTCTCATTAAAAGGGGTTCAGCGACCCGCAGTCTATGGAGCCAATTTCTGCCACGTCACCCAGTACTGCATCCACATCGGAGAGGGCATCAAGGGACAAGTCCAACCCTATGGCATGGTATCAAGGCTTGCGGTCAGACGGATTTGTCTCATTGGAAGTTTCAGAAATTGAAATTGAAGTTGTCTCGTTTCAAGTCTGCACCTGGCATCTCGGGCATCTCCTCTGTTGCGAAGCTGGGCTCAGCCTCCATGGGCAAAGCAACGGTCGCGTTGTGGTCAGCTGCATGGCATCGCTCAAGAAAGCCGAAAAAAGATCTGAGTAGCAGAGGTGGGCGCCCAGGCATGGACAGAGGGTCGTTTGAGGAATTGAAATAAAAACGAGTAAACAAGAAGCACCGCGGATCGAGCCAACAAGCGGCAGCATTGCCAGGGTACACGCCACACCACGCACTTGTCCATGCGTTCCCGCAGGCGATCCGGGTCTGTGGGCAGCTCTTCACTGGGCGCCATGTATTCGGGTTCGGGTACACTGGGCCCGCGAGCAACCGCTAGGGGCTTGCGCTCAGCGGTCGTGGCGCTGACCATGGGGCCTTTGATTCGTGAAACGGCTTGCCCACGGACGTTGCTGATGTTGCCCAGGGCCTTGCGCTGGGAGCCAGGCACACCCATGCTCTAATGTAGTGTATGACATGGTGCCAGGGATTAGAGGCGGGAGGCGGGCTTGGGCCAGGTGCTTCCTTGCTTGCTTCTCTGTTGCTCGCATTCTACTGCCTGGTCTTCCTTCTTTTCTCAACGTGGCGAAAGCCCGTGTGTTTGAGCAAAGGATGCGAGGCTTTCGGACCTTGGTTCGGAATGGGGTAGCTTGGGAAGAGCGCGCCGATAGACCTAATTTGTTGTCGTCCCCATGGTCGTTGAAGCAGCCAAACAACCAATCAGTGGGTGAGTATCAACGTCAACTCTTATTATCAGATCGTATACAGCCGCTTGATGAGTGCACTTGAAGCAGGTGAGCTCTTGACGCCGGCCTCGCAGAACAGCGCGAGGCAGCAGGATCACCCACTCCTGCACTCGTGTTTCGCTTTGGCCATGCTAGGTCGATGGCGGTGGAGCCAAAACCCACAATTGCCCTCTGAACCAAACTCACCCTTGGTGGCGGGGCGCATGATGTTCGTTGGTTCCATAGCGCTTGGCGCGTCCGTGTACACCCAGCTGGCCATGATGGTTGTTTGACGTTGGCCAGATGCTTGTGGCAAGGCGATACGCTCGCGCCCTCAAGCACTCGGGTCCAAAAGTGACAACACCTGATTCAATCAATTTTCTAATGCCGTCAATGATCCTCTTGGCGATCGGGTCGCACGGGGAGAAACTATCGTTTGTGGCTTGAACAATCACGGTTGAACTTCTGATCAACTCACGTCCTGCACCAGCCATTCAAATTCTCCCGCCAATAAGTGTATTATGTGCGGTCTGACACACTTTCAATCTACTACCAACTGTCATTTTCTCTGGCGATGAACAAGCTGACATCTCTGTCTCTTTGTAACGTTGAAATCGTTCAAGCCAGAGAGCCAGACACTTTCACTCTTGTGCTCACTCCAGCCAGCCTCCCTCTGTACTTTTTCTTTGCCACCATCAATGCTATCGGCCGTGTGGCGGACGGTGGGATCGAGTGACCAGGATCGGGGATGTGTGATGGGGCACAGCTTCATAAACTCAGCTCTACTCTCAACACTCTTCTTCTTGCCCATTGGCACTGAACTACGGGATCAAGCGCGGTGCCGTCACGGCCTTAAAGGCTGCAAGCCTTCGCCACTGTCGCAGTAGCTTGGTCTCGAGCGCCACGCACTTTGTGATTCGACGACGTTCCCCATCGGAGAGCCAGGGGCTTCCTTTGGAGTGCTCAGGCATCATAACCACGGTGCTTTTGGCTTGAGGACAGTGTGTGATTTCATCTTCCAAAAGCGGGTTGCTGCTCGCTGCCCCGCAACCCATCTTCTTCTTCCGAGCTGCCGTGCCCTTGACAGCGCGCCATACCCATGGTCAAACGCCGGCTGTGCAACCTGTTTTTTTTCTTCTATTTTTGGTGGCTCATCTCATCCTTTTTTTGGGTTGGGCAATATCCTTGAGTTGCCCCTGGGGGGCGGGGTGGAGAAAGACGACGAACAAACACTCATTAGCGAGCGCGTTTCACCGCTGCGATGCCAATGCTTGCGCACATGAAGAAACACCTTTTCAAAGGGTCAACCTCTTCTGGATCAGGATCATTCGAGCCCGGGAGCGAGGTGGTCGTTGATAACTACCATGTCACTATTGAGTCGCTCATTGCTGAAGGTATCACCATTTTTTATTTTAATTTTTTTTGTTGTCTGGTCACCTCAACCCCAGGTGTGAAAATACCGCTGACAGAGCCGTTGTCCTCGCCTTGATTTCTTTCAGGTGGATTTGGAAGTGTGTATCTCGTGACAGACGGTGCCAAAAAGTATGCCCTCAAAAAGGTAGGAGCCGGTGTGGAATGCTTTCGCAGTACACGAGCAGCCGCTCGTTAGCGCGCGCTTTTGCCAGTGGGCCTCGCCCTGACAAATTTTGTGCTGTGGACGACGCATTGGGGTGTGGGACGTTTCACAGGTCATGGTTCATGACCAAGAAACCCTTGACGCCACAACACGGGAGATTGAATTTATGGTGTGTCCCATACGAGTTTGGAAAGCGCAAGGCTCGCGCCCAGGGTATTGCCGACGACGGCCTTCTGGGACAAGGGGTGCTCATCGCGTATGCTGATAGAAACAACTGCCGTTTCACCACAACATCGTGACGATTCATGCGTCAGACTTGAAGCCTGCTGGCAAGCACGCCGAGGTACGCATCTGCCTGGCGTCTTGGCCCTTCACACACACACACACACACACACACACACACACACACACACACACACACACACCAAAAAGACAAAGCAACAAAAAGCAGCACATTGGCCCTGCCGACCAGAGCCAAGATTCACTCGGAAGGTGTGCTGCGATCTGGCAGGTCGTGATTCTCATGGAGCACTGCCCCGGTGGCCATGTGGTGGATATCATGAACCGTCGCCTCACTCGACCATTTACCGAGCGCGAGGTGCTCAAGGTAGACACTTTTTACGCTCTGTTGTTCTGTACCAGGCTCGCTGTGCGCAGTTTGAGCGGGAACAAGCCACCAACACTCAGCCCACGCACGCGTCGCAATGCTGACAGATTTTCTCAGACATCTGCTTGGCCGTGACGGCCTTGCATCAACAACGACCTCCGATCATTCATCGGGATTTGAAGGTGGGTGAGATTAATATCAAATTACAGCTTTCATTCCACTTGTTTTCCGGCCTGCCCTACACCCGCGCACATGCATGGCTGAAGCACGTCAGGGCCCCTCTCATCGCGCCATTGGCCAGCTCGAAAATGTACTATTAAGCGAGGATAAAGGCAGTTTCAAGCTGTGCGACTTTGGATCCGCCACCGTGAAGGTGCTTCATCCTGGAGCGCAGGATCCTATCCCTGTTTGCGAAGAGGAAATTCAGAAATACACGACCCCAAATTATCGAGCACCCGAAATGGTTGATCTCTATCAGAGCCACGCCATCAATGAGAAGGCTGATATTTGGGTAATGTTCGCCCACAGTTACTTTGCGTGCATGACAGCCCTTTGCTCTGGCCCCGCCAGGTGACTTACAACTCTGTCACACCCCACTAGGCGCTCGGTTGCGTCCTTTACAAGTTATGCTTCTTTACGGACGCTTTTGGTGACTCCTCCCTTTCCATCGTCAGCGGCAAGTACAAAATTCCAGACCATCACGACTTTAGCCCTGCCGTCATTGATCTCCTCGGTACGTTGAATCAGCACAAAAGCGGCCCTTCACATGTCTTTGGCTCGTCTCTCCACTCTCAAATGTTTTGTTTTCTTTTCCACCTTGCCTCAGCCGCTACCTTTGAACTGGATCCCACAAAGCGAATCGGGGCAGAAGCATTGTGCAAGGTGACCAAACTTGGGCATGCCAGCGACTCCAAAGTTCTTGCCTCTTTGCTATTGCTTAAGCGCGGTGTATCTCACGTCAGGACGATGTCACTGCTCTCGTGCCACCGTTGCGCCTTTTCGCCTGTAGCGTGTTTTCGCCCTGCGCCAAATGCCATGTCCTTTGCTGCCTTCGAGCATCACGACTTTGTCAACGCCCGCCGCAGCCGCGCCGCCACTGACAGCCGCCACTGCGAGTGGTGCGTCGACAAAATCCGCCTCAGTACCGACGCCAGCACCAGCACCGGCCCCGCCCGCCTCCGTGGCTTCCGCGGCGCCACCGGCACGTCGGTCGCCGTCCAAGCACCCAGCCTCAGTCTCAGACACCAGCGACTTCCATCCTCGTCGCCCTGCGCACGCCACGCACCGCCGGAACAAGTCCAATCCCTTTGATGCAGTCCTGCTTGGTGCTGGTCACAAGAAAACCCACCAAAGGTCGCCCAGTAACCCATTTGATATCCCGCCCAATCCCTCCAATCCGTTTGCACGCGCATCTACGTAAGTTGACGTGCACTCGTGTGGCTGGCACAGCACCACTTCGTATTCATTCTCCATCATGGCGTGTGTGCACCAGGCCCAACGTCAAGCTAAAAAGCCCTTTTGCCTCGAATCAAGATTTGTCTGCTGACTGGGCCTTTGGAGGAGATAGCGCAGCGTCGTCTTTGACAACTTCTACGGCCTCTGCCACGCCATCAAACCCCGCCAAAGACTCTGGCAGGCACACAACCTGGGAGAATAACCCATTTGCATGAACTCAACGGCTTAGGCTCGGAGGCTGTGCAATTCACAACAGGCCCCACTACTGCGTAGAAATCCCTTTGCCAATGTCGGCTGTTATTTCTGTATCGTTCCCTCAACCCTGCTCGTCTCAGCTCTCAAAGCGCCTTTTCACATTGTTGATTTCCACAGTTGATTCACACGTAAAATGGCACACTTTTTTTTTCGAAAACAGGCTGGAGGCTGCCTCTAAACAAAGACCAAGCACAACTCCCCTAAATCCTGTTTCGACAGGAAACTTATATAACAAGGAATAAGCTTTGAAAAGGTCAAAGTAAAAATTCTGAATCAGCGAAGCAGAGTTTTTGTGCTAAACATCATTGTATTTACTTCACTCAAAGGGTTTAAAGAAGAAGACAATAGGGAAGGGGGGCGTAACGTCGGCGCACCCTCTTCGACGACAACGACACCAAGCGACCGGCGACCATGTCATCCAAACCAGGGGCCACACTCGTGGCCTTGGTCTTGGCTGTCGTGGTCGCGCTTCTAGTCGCGCCTGCCGTTGCCGTGAACATTACACTCGAGGAAGGTGTTCTCTCGGAGCCATATGAGATCGATCTCAACGTCTCAGCGCCCGCACAGGGCGTAACGGTGTCTACGATTGGCACCGCCACCGTTGCAACGCCAGATGACTCAGCAGGTACGTTCCGGTCCCAGTAGGATCCGAGCCAACACAGGGTATGGGAGTAACGCCTCGAGGGCAGGGCATGATCAAGCCAACATTGGGGCAAGGCAGAGACTGTTAGCATTTGCAACTCCTCTCGTGTTCCTTTCGTTCCCTCACGAGCCTCTTGTCCCTGTCAACTGCTGCTCTGATAGCCGGTGTTCCAGCATTCTTCCCGGATAAGCCTTGGGTGGAGCAAGGACTGGAGGCTGAGAATGTCGCTATCCTCCCAAACAACGATCTGGTCCTCTATGGCGAGGGCTATGTGACTTTTGCCTCATCAGAGGGGAGCACAACCAGTTTCGTCGTGTCCGAGCCGGTAGACGCCTGCGTGGCCACCTGGGGCTCCATCACCTACGTGGCAGTCGCCAACTACCGTGCAGGGAGCAATTATCGCATTTCATCTCCCATCTTTGCCAACAACGGTGCCGGATGGACACAGGTGGATGCCGTTGAGACGCTGGGCGGTCAGGGTTGTGCCTTCAATGTCCTGGATGATGCCCTGCTGCTTGCGTTTGCCAATAGTCACGACAGCAGCTTTACCACCTCGATACAGTCGTTTGTATATGTGCTCCAAGACGGCAGTTTTCAGCTCCGGGATACGGCGGCCACCATTGGTGCTCAAAGTGTTGCACCAGTTACTGCCGGCGACGCTGTTGGGTTTGTGTTTGGCAATGTCTATGATTCAGAGAGCCAAAGCTCCAGCGTGGCCTCTCACCTGTGGCTATACGATTCAAACCAGCTACTCGAATCTGGCGCAAGTTTGACTGTGGGTGCTACCCATGACGTCTCTTCAGTTACTTGCCTAAACAATCAAAGCTTTGTAGCCGTGGCGCTTCAGGCAACGGGGAGCTTTACGTCCTCCGTGGCCGTCTTCTCCATCAGCCCCGCCGGTGCCGCGCAGACGCTCAGCGTTGTGGCAACCACTTATGCTGCCCGGGACGTGACACTCTTTTGTGACGCGCAGTTGTCACTCCTCATCTCTCAGTCGGAGGTTGACGGCAGCGAGGCGGCTTCCGCTTGGTATGACTGGAGTGTGGCGCGAGGCAGTTTTGTGGCGGCCTCTCGTTCCCTGCCTGCGGCTCAATCTGTGGATATGAACCAAGCTGGGCACATCGCGTTGGTGGATCGTTTGGCCTCGTCACGCGTGATCGTCTACGACATGGTCCGCTACTCCGTGGCCGATGTGATCATTCACTTTGCAAACAGTCAGCTGTACCTCGACGTGGAGGACGACGACGAAGACGAGCAATCAGAGTCCCTCGTCATCACTTTGGCTGGTGCCAGCCCCGCTGAAATTTACCTTACCTTGCTGGACAATGACGTGACCCTGTTCACAGTTGAAACGTTGGCCCTCAACGTCTCCGAGGATGTTGCCAATGGCACGATTGTTTATACCTCTTTGTCAAATTTGGTCAACTCTTCTGGCACTGTGCAGTTTCAGCTTGAGGACACCACACGTACTTTCGCGATTCTTGGCGACGATCTGATCCTCACTCAGACGCTTGATCGCGAAACGATTGACAGCTACTTGGTGCGCTTGGAGGCCAGTCAGGCTGGCGTTGACGGTGTCGATGCCCTTATCATCGAGGTTTCGGTCCTCGACGTCAACGACAATGCTCCTGCCTACAGCCAAAGTGCCTACTACCTCTTTTTCAACGAGAACAGCTCCGTCGGCACCAGCCTGGCCATGCTACCAGCAACAGACGCAGACTTGCACGCGGCCCTCGTTTATAGCCTCAGCAGCAGTTCCCAATTTGCATTGGACAGCTTGACGGCCAACCTTACCTCGCTGGTCGTATTCGATGCCGACCCCGTGGCGCTATCCCCAATCAGCCTGCAGATGACAGCCTCAGATGGCACCTTCTCTTCAAGCGCCGCCGTAACCGTTGTCATCTTGGATGTCAACGACAATGCTCCGGTTTTTGACCAGGTGCAGTACCAAGTGACTGTTCCCGAAAGCACAGCCACAGGCACGCAGCTTGCCCGAGTTCAAGCTACCGACGCCGATCGCGCCCTTGTGAATCGCCAGCTTAAGTATACCTTGCTCAACGCTACTGACATTGTGCGCGTTGCCGCTAGCACGGGCGCCATCACTCTCATCGGGGCTCTTGACTACGAGTCTCAAACAAGCTTCGTGGTTGCAGTGCAGGCCAGCGATAGTGCAGCGACCCCGCAGCGCACCACAGTTTATTTTCGCCTCCTCGTGTCGGATGTCAACGACAACGGGCCTAGGTTCTCTGCCCTTTCTGCTAACTTCTCCTTCCCAGAATCCACAACTGTTGGCACGACAGTGTTTACCACTTCAGCCGCGGACCCAGACACGGTTGGGCCACGCCCCACCTACTCATCTAACAACCTACCAGCTTTCTTCAGCCTCAACTCCCAATCGGGGGCCTTGGTACTGAGCATCGCCGTTGACTATGAGACTGCAGCTGCCTCCTACGCCTTTGAGATTGTGGCCACCGATGCCGATAACGGTCTCACGGCCACGCAAAGCATTCAGGTTCAGCTGCTTGATGTCAACGACAATGCCCCCGAGTTTGTGGGCAGCACCACAGAGTTTGATGTTCTTGAAAGTGCCAGCGTCGAAACCGTTATAGCTCGCATCGAGGTCCGAGACGCCGACTCGGGCGCCAACGGCAACGTCACGCTGAGCATTGACGCTACCTTTTCCGACGCGGTAGTGGTCATTCACCCAACAACCGGCGTTGTATCGCTGACCAGTAGTTTGGACTATGAGCAGGATCAAGAATACTTTTTCCGCGTCCTGGCTCGTGATGCCGGCTCGCCGCAGCAAGAAACAATTCGGGATTTTCGCATCAACGTACTGGACGTCAACGATAACACTCCTGTCGCCGACGATCTGGCTATTAGTGTGTGGGAAAATGCCACTGTGGGCTCTGTCCTTGCATGGATTGATGCTCGTGACGCTGATTTGACGCCTGCCTTCCGCAACATCAGTTTCACCACAAACAGTCCCGTCGTCTCGATTGACAGCGAGGGGCGCGTCATCCTTGAAGAAGCACTGGACTACGAGGCCGACACCTTTTACGAGGTGACAGTTTTCCTTTCTGATGGACGGTTTGTGTCCTCCATGCTCCTCTCACTCACCGTACTCGACGTCAACGACAACCGGCCCATTTTTGACGGTCTCCCTTCTTCCATCACGCTTGCTGAAGATCTGGTGACCGGCACGAGCGTGCTGACGGTGACCGCTCTAGACCTCGACTCGGGGGTCAACGCTGCGCTGCGTTATACCCTCGCCAGCGATGAGAGCTTCTTGACTATTGGCAGTGTTTCGGGCATTTTGACGCTCGACTCAGCTCTCGATTTCGAGTCGTTGTCGAGCTTCAGCGTCAACGTGACCGTCACCGACATGGGCTCGCCGGCCTTGTCCACTACGGCCATACTGCAGGTCATGGTGTTGGATGTCAACGATAACAGCCCGGTTTTTCCCAATCAAACCCTGTCTGAGACCGTGGATGAAAACACTGCGGGTAGCATTGCCTTCAGTGGTGCCACCGATGCCGATGCCGGTGACAACGGCGCCGTCACATACGCCTTGGTAAATGACTTTGGGGGTCTATTTTCCTTGAGTGGTACGTCGTTGACACATGCGCAATTGGATGCTGAGGTAGCCACGGAGTATTCCGTGGTGGTGCGTGCTACCGATGGCGGCACCCCGGCTCTCTCGAGCGATCTGGTCCTGGTCATCTCCGTGCAGGATTTGAACGACGAAGCTCCTATCATTGCTGCACCGAGTGTCCTGCAGTTCTCAGTGCGAGAGGACGATGTTTTCCCCACAAACCTCTCAACGCTGACCATCAGTGATGCCGATGTGACCGCTAGTAACCGTGAGAGTGAGCTTGAGGTGTCTGAGAATTGCGCGGCCTTTGTGGAGGTGCAGGACACCTTGTTGATTTTGCGCACAATTCCCGATGAAACGCCACAACTGCAGTGTAGCGTCACCACACGCAACCTCAATGATCCTGCAATGGCAACCACTTCGCCGCTGACCATCAACATTGAGTTGCTCAACAAATATACTCCTGTCTTCGTCAACTTGACGGACACCATGACCGTGCTGGAGAACCAAGCTGTTGGTACGGTGGTGGGCCAAGTCTGGGTTGAGGATGCCGACTTGGACGAGAACGGTGCCATCACATTTGCACTTTTGAACGCCACCAGCTTCTTCTCCATCGCCAAGGGCGCTCGCGTGGGTAACACAACCAGCGCGACTCTGTACAGCCAGTATCGCTTTGATCGCGAGGCGCAGGCAACTTATCTTGTGGCGCTCCGCGCAAGCGACGGTGGAGCCGACACCAAGTCGGCCACCGTGACCATCACCGTACAGATTGGCGATCTCAATGACAATCCACCGCAATTCGACCAGGGCTCATACTCTGTATCAGTGTCCGAAGCATTGTCTGTGGGAACTACCGTATTGCAGCTCACTGCATCCGATGCCGACGTGGGGGAGAATGCGGCCTTCTTTTTTGAGCGCGTGTCCGGCTCCGCTTCTTTCAACACAACTCTTGCTGGGGCCATTCAGGTCATTGCACCTCTGGATTATGAGACGCAAACCTTTCACACCCTGACAGTGGCCGTGCTGGACGAATCAGGCAGCGGCGCTCTTCGCACGGTTCAGATCTACATTGTTGATGAGAACGATAACAGCCCTGTCTTTGGAGCTCTTTCCAAAGTTGTCATTACCGAAGCAACTAGTCCAGGAACGTCCATCGAGCAGGTGTTTGCCACGGACGCCGACAGCGGCATGAATGCCGCCCTGACCTACTCCATTGTCAGCGTCGTGCCATCTGTTACCGGCGAGACACCTTCAAGCCAGCTCTTTGCCATGGCACCAACCACTGGCGTGGTGACCACGACGGCGCCGTTGGATTTCGAAAAAGTCAAAGCTTACAACATCACCGTGCAAGCGACCGATGCTGGTGTACCTCCACGCGCCACAACAAGCGTGTTCACTGTGGAGTTGACCGATGTCAACGACAATGCACCTGCATTGAGCGCCGGCTTTGCGCTGGCCTACAACGTGTCCGAGGATAGTGCTGTGGGCTTGACCCTCTTTGCTGCCATGCCGGTGACGGATGCTGATTCGGGGCTCAATGCTGCCCTTTCGTTTACCCTCAGCTCACCCTACTTTGCCATCAATGCCTCGACGGGTGGAGTGACGCTTGCAGCTCCCATCGACTATGAGCAGGTGCAGGCTTTGGCTCTCAATGTTTTGGTGACAGATGGTGGCGTGCCAACAAGAACACTGCCCGTCAGCCTTGCCATCACCGTCCTGGACGTCAATGACAACGCGCCCATGGCATCAAACGCCAGTTTCAGCGTGCGCGAGGATGCCTCTGTCAACGCGGTGCTGGGTACTGTCTCGGTGTCAGATGCGGACACTGGGTCTAATTTTGTCTTCGTGGTTCCACCTAGCGTTCCGGTGATTATTGCTGGTGATGGAACAGTCACGTTGTCAGAGCCGCTGGATCGCGAACAAGTGGCGTCGTATGATGTGCTTGTCACAGTGTACGATCAGCCGGCTGCTCCTCGCAACAGTGCCCAGTTTCGACTTGTGGTGACGGTGACAGACGTGAATGACAACGTGCCGGCGTTTGACTCTTCCTATCTTGCGGTGAATGTGACCGAGTCGAGCAACAGCATTACAGTGTTGGGCCCTTACTTGGCGACCGATCCTGATGTAGACAATGCCATCGTCTACAATCTTGTGCAAGATGGCGTCGTGGCCACCCGCAACGCGACGGGCCACCTGCTATTGGATCCTTTGGATCGCGAGACTGTGAGTGCCTTTAATCTTACTCTCGTGGCGTTTAACCCGGATAAGCCAGCCAGCCAGGGCCGACTGGTTATTGCCGTGACTGTGACAGACATCAATGACAACGTGCCTGAGATCCCTGCAGCCCAGCTCACCAATATTAACGTCATTGAGGAGAACACGACTGGTGTTTTACGCACCTTTGCTCCTGTCGATGCGGATGAAGGAATCAACGCTGTCATTACCCTCTCTCTGGCAAATGATTACGACGGTCGCTTCGTGCTCTCCCCAACCTACGAGCTCTCGCTGACGCAGCAACTTGACCGCGAGGCCTTTCCCAACGGCATCGACTTGGTCATTACTGTCCAAGACGCCGGCACCCCTAGCCTCAACAGCTCAGCCAGTGTGCATGTCAACATTATTGACGTGTCAGATAATGCCCCCGTTTTTGCCAACAACACATATACGTTTTCTCTGCCTGAAGGTACCTATGCCACCTCAAGCGTGGTGGGTCAAGTGACAGCCACAAGCTCGGATTCGGGCGCCAACGCCGACGTGGCCTATAGTGTTTCACCCACCACCCGGTTTCGCATCAATGCCTCTACAGGTGTCATCTCTACCCAGCCAAACATGACCTTTGATCGTGAAACAATCGCAAGCCATACGCTGACCGTCTCGGCCGTTTCGGGCCCTGAGAACAAGCCTCTGGTCGCTCAAGTGGCTGTGACGGTTGCAATTGCTGATATCAACGACAACACGCCGGTTTTAATGGCGGCCCCAGCATCATTGACGCTTTCAGAGGCCACGGCAGTTGGCACGACGCTGCATACGTTTGAGGCTACAGACGCCGATGCGGGCGTCAACGCAGCCTTGACCTGGAGCCTGCAAGATACAAACAACGGGCGTTTTAGTATCAACGAGAACGGCGAACTGAAACTCGAGCGTGCCTTTGACTTTGAAGCGCAGCCCTATCATCAGCTAACAGTCGTAGTAACGGACGGCGGTATTCCGGCTCGATCGGCCTCTACGAACATGCTGATCATTCTGACTGATGCCAATGATGAGACACCTCAATTACAGCGGTGCAAGTGGTATCGTCCATTCCAGAAAGTGCCGTAGTGGGCGAGGTTTTGGGGCAAGTCACGGCTACTGACCGTGATGCGACGCCTGCCAACGCCCGCTTGATATTTAGCCTCAGCGCTGATCAGACCAATGGTGCCGTTGCCGTTTCAAATACCGGTGTGATCACCCTGGCCAAGGCCCTGGACCGCGAGACCATGGCTGTTTTGCGCTTTGATGTTCTTGTCACCGATACAGGTGAGCCGCCTTTGAGCAACAGCACGAGCATCATGATCACCGTTAGTGACGTGAATGACAACGCGCCGGCTTTTGCTGACAGTGACATCAGCATCGGTGTGGCCGAGGATGAGGCCATCGGTTTTGCCCTCGTGCAGCTCGTGGCCACAGACGCCGACAGTGGTATAAACGCTGCCGTGACCCTCTCTGTGGATGCTGTGTCTGCCGAGCGCTTTCACATTGATAATGATGGATACCTGCGCTTGTCGCAGCGACTGGACTATGAGGTGCGACGGGCTTACAACGTGACCATTACGGCCACTGATGGCGGGTTCCCCGCTCTTTCCAGTACCGCCCTTGTGCGCGTTCATGTTACCGATGTGGACGACAACGCAGCAGTTATTGTTGATCCCGGCGTGGCGATCATGGCTGAGGACGCACCTGTGCAGGCTACCGTTGCAATCCTGCACTTTACCGATGCAGATACCGGGATCAACGCGCAAGGAACTTGGAGCATCACGGCGCAGACCTCAGCGGGCCAGTTTGGTATCAACGCTTCATCGGGTCGCCTCGTCCTTTTGAAAGCGCTTGATTTTGAGATGCTGCAGGAGCACGAGGTGTCCGTGCAGGTCACGAATCAAGCAACGGGACTGGCCTCCAGCGTGTTCGTGGTCGAGGTCGATGTCACAGACGTCAATGATAATGCGCCTATTTGTAGCGAGAGTAGCTATGCCTTTAGCATCCCCGAAAACGTGGCAAATGGTGTGGTCGGGGTGATTACGGCGACTGATGCCGACAGCTTGGGTCTAAGCAACGCTTCCTTCGTGCTCAACAGCTCTGCTTTTACCGTGGACAGCGAGGGAGTTGTGCGCACCGCCATGGCATTGGATGCGGATAACGCCAGCTCGCAGTACTTTTCGCTTTCCGTTATCATCACAGACCACCAATATCCCGGTCCCCTTAGCAGCGTGCCGTGCCCAGTGGAGATTACCGTGGTTGACGTTAACGACAACGCTCCCCTTTACACGAGCAGCCTGTCGTTTGTTGTAGCTGAGAGCGCAGAGACTGGCGCTGTGCTAGGCCCGCTCATCTTCACCGATGCTGATTCTGGTAACAACGGGGTTGTCAATGTGCAGCTGAACAATTCGCACTTTGCCGTGTCTAATAATCAGTTGGTCTTGCAAGCTGCTCTCGACTACGAAATTGTCACATCGCTGGCTGTTGCCGTTCAGGCAACCGATGAAGGGTCACCTGCGCAGAGTACGACCGTAGTGGTCTTGGTGACAGTCACGGACGTCAATGACAACGCCCCCCGGTTTGCAAAAGCCGAGTACACGGCAACTATCAATGAGAATGTTGCTTCGGCCGAAGTGGCGACGCTTGTGGTGATGGATGCCGACAATGAACCCTATGCAGCCAGCCACATCTTCCTCAACGACTCGAATACACAGTGCGAGCAGTATTTGACCGTCAACTCCACAAGTGGAGCAGTGGCCTTGGTGGCTCCACTGGATTACGAGGTTATTCAAGAACTGAGCTGCACGGTAGCCGTGGTCAATATCTTGCCATTGGTAGGGTCAGCTGCCGCAGAGCCCTGGGCTACCACGTTGGTTCGTGTGAGCGTTGTGGACTTGGACGATAATGCACCTGCCTTTACGTCGGTGCCAGACACCGTCACAGTGCCCGAGAATGTGCCTAGGGGAACCATTGTGCATGTTTTTACGGGCGCGGATGCTGATGTCTTCCAGTCACCAGCCTTCAGTTTTGTGCTTGCGCTCAACACAGGAGCAGCACCGGTGACGCTGGCCCCTAATGGCACCCTGTACACTTCAGGAGATGTGGATCATGAGCAGCTGACCGAAGCCCCGCTGATCATTCGAATCCAGGATGATAACAATCCACTCTATTTTGCCGACGCCAACGTTACGCTCCTGATCGAGGATGTAAACGACAATGCCCCCGTTTTCAACAACGCTAACACGCTCGACGTGCTGGAGGAGCTTTCAGTGGGCACAACACTAAGTCTGTTGAACGTCACGGATGCCGATGCAGGAGCAAACAGTCAAATCACTTACAGCATTCTCGATAGCGGGAGTCGATTGGGCATCAACAGCACCACGGGCGAGCTGCGAGTACTGCGGCGTCTGAATCGGGAGAGTACGGATGCGCTTGTCATTATCGTGACAGCCACGGATGGTGGTGCTCCACCTCGTTCCACATCCCAGACCATCACCATTCAACTAACAGATATTAATGATAATGTCCCAACCTTCCTGAGCCTTGCCTACTATGAGCAGGTTGGCGAGCTGACGCCGGTGAACACTACGGTTCTACAGGTCGAAGCGGTTGATGCCGACATTAATGACAACGCCGCCATCGAATACCTCCTCTTTGGTGCAGCTGGCTCTTACTTTAATCTAAACTCCACCACCGGTACTCTGGCTGTGCAGCAGTCTCTTTTGCCGCTAGTTGGCACAACAGTCACCCTGGAGATCATGGCCCGCCACCCCATCGTCACCAGCAGTCGCTCGGCTCGGAACGCCACAGTTGTTATTCAAATTCTAAATGAGAATGAGAACGCTCCCGTATTTCAAAGCAGCGCGGATATCAGCGTGCTGGAGAACGTGACGACGGGCACGGTCATTGGGCAAATGGTTGCCACAGATGCAGATGAGGGTGCAAATGGCGAGGTCCGCTACAGCTTGACTCAGGGTGGTTCGTTCGTGAGCATTGACGCGATCACGGGTGTCTTGACTTTGCGATCGGGTCTGGACTACGAAACGCGACAGCGGGTTGAAGTGACTGTTGTGGCTCGCGATCAAGGCGCCATATTTCAGTCGTCTAGCGTCACCTTCGCTCTCATTATTGTTGACGTCAACGACAACGGCCCTCAATTTGCAGGTACCACGGCCACTTTTAGTGTGCTGGAAAACACACGTGCTACCTTTATGGGCTTGCAGGTTACGGACGCCGATTCGGTTCCCGACTTTTCCTTGGCCATTGTGGACGACATCACGGGTGTGTTTGCTATTCTACCCAACGCCACCATCACGATGAGCGATTCCTTGGATCGGGAAGTCGTTGCCACTGTTGTTTTCAGGGCCGTTGCTACAGATTCCTTGGGGCGCACATCTCAAGTAACCGTGACGGTGACTGTTCTGGATGAGAACGACAATGCGCCCACGTTCCCACAAGCCGTTGTGAACAGCACCGTTCGTGAAGGTGATACTTTGCCTAGCTTAGGATACGTGACTGCCACGGATGCAGACAGCGGCGTTAACGGCCAGCTCACGTACTCAATTTTGAGCCCCACCTACGGCTTTACCGTCGATGCTTCGACCGGCCTGGTGACGGGTACCGTCCCATTGGATTTTGAGACCCGCCCGCACTTGACGCTCACAATCGTAGCCACCGACGGTGGTTCCCCAGCCCTATCCTCCTCCGTGCTTGTCAACGTTCAAGTGCAGGACACAAACGACCACTCGCCCAACTTCAATGCATCCTCGATCACGGTCACAATTGACGAGAATGTGGCCTCAGATACTCTGGTCGTCCAAGTTGTGGCCACCGATCTGGATGCCAACAGCATTTTGACCTACCAGTTGGATGCCATTGGCGCTGCTCTCTTCAACATTGATGCGAGCTCGGGTGAGATTTTCACTGACGCTCCTCTTGATTACGAGGAGCGCCAGCAAGTGATCATGGTGGTGACCGCATATGACGAGGATTCCAGGAGTGATAGCATCACGGTCGTGTTGAACATTCGTGACCTGAATGACAACGTCCCCGTCTTTTCCCCGTCTTCTTACTCCACCACCGTGGTTGAAACCCTCCAGAGCGACTACTTGGTCGCTGTCGTCAGCGCAACCGACGCAGACTCGGGCATGTACGGCACAGCAGGGTTGCAGTATTCCATCGTGCCGTCGTCCGGTTCGCACCTGTTCTATCTTGTGGGCAACTACCTGTATCTGCGCGATAATGTCGATCGTGAGGTCTATCCCATTCTTAACATCATGGTCCAGGCGCGGGATGGCGGAAATCTGACGGCCACTGCCTCAGTGACAGTCAGCATGATCGACCTGAATGACAACCCGCCGTCCTTCCCCAATCCCAACATTTCTCTCGGTATTATGGAGAATCGACCCGTGGGCAGCTTTGTGGGGTTGGCCAACGCCAGCGATCCTGATGAGGGTGTCAATGCTTTGATTCGTTACGAGATGACTGGGGCGGATGCCGGGCTCTTTGCCATCAACACCAGCACCGGCGCCATCACCACTGCCGCCGTCTTTGATCGTGAGGCTCGAGAACATTACCAGGTCATTGTGACGGCTCGTGATGCTGGCAATCTTGCCTCGGTCTTTTTTGACACAGCCACGGTCGAGATCACCATTCTTGATGAAAATGACAACGCGCCTCAGATTGAGCAGGTACCGACTGCCTTTACAGTACGCGAGGATGCGGCCGTGAATACGACGTTGTTTGGCGTCGTTGCTTCAGACAGAGATACTGGTGCCAATGCAGCCTTGCGCTTTGAGCTGTGGAACTGCGCGCCTGCCACCTTGATGACATGTCCGTTTGGCTTCAGTGGCCAGCAACTGTTACTCATTGCCCCGGTCGACCGTGAGACCATTGATCGATACAATCTTACCGTGGCTGTCCTGGACGCTGCAGCCGACGCCGGACCCCTCAACGACACGGCCTCCGTAACGGTAGTTATCGGCGACGTCAACGATAATAGTCCCATCTTCGTGCAAGGCGTTTACAACTTTTCTGTGGCCGAGAATACAGCACCGGGTGTGATTGGCAATGTTGCAGCCACTGACGCGGACCTGGGGATCAATGCTCTCATCCGATATGAAAGCGCAAACGCCAGCATCGCCAGCGTCGGCAGTGACGGGACAGTGTACCTGGTTGGTCATTTGGACTACGAGCAAGCGGTAGAAGTTAGCTTCTACGTGTGGGCCTTTGATTCGGGCAACCTTAGCGGGTCAACACTAGTCCACATCATGGTTCAGGACGTGAACGACAACGCGCCAGTCTTTAGCGTACCTCGCATTGATATCGTGTTGCCTGAGAACGAGAATCGCAGCAGCCTTGCCTCAGTAGTGGTTACGGATGCTGACTCCGGCTTGAATCAACAGTTTGACCTCTCAGTCACAGGAGAGGGCGCAGAGTATGTTGTGATTGAGCGTGAAAACGCCACGGTCCGTATTTCCGTTTTGGCCATTGACCGAGAGGAGTACAGTGCTTTGAACGTCTCTCTCCTGGCAACAGATCAAGGCACACCCTCGCAAATGAGCAGCCTACCCATCAGCATCACGGTGACTGACGTCAATGACAACGCTCCAACCGGCCCCGCGACGTTCGAGGCCACTGTTCTTGAAAATCAGCCCGCAGGCACCATCGTTGCTCGTGTGCCCTTCACCGACGCCGATGCGGGCGCCAACGGACTGTTGCAGTTTTACTTGTTCGATGCAGCCACGGTGGGTAGCAACTTTTTGCTGCAACCCTTGACTGGAGAGATTGTGACGTCGCGAATCTTTGATCGTGAAGTGCAAGGTCGCTATGAGTTCCGCGTTATCGCACAAGACTCAGGCACGCCTTCCTTGAGCAGCACCATGAACGTGACTATCATCATCGGAGATCTGAACGACAACCGTCCTCGCTTCACTTCTACTGAATTCACTGCCGCCGTGCCAGAGGACATCAACGCCACCGTCCCCGCGCTTGTACTGAACGCAACAGACGCAGACATCGGAGTCAACGCGCTGCTCAACTTTACCCTATTGTCTAGTGATTGGGCCGATCTGTTTGTGGATGCTGGAACGGGAGCCATCTTCTTGTCAGCCGACTACGAGACGCAGACTGTGATTACGGGTACAGTCAAGGTTGAAAATGTCAATACCACGGTCAGCACATATGACGTGGCAACCTTCACCATCAATATACTGGATGTTAATGACGTTGCACCCACCGTGACAGTGCCCACCAATGTTAGCGTGTACGAGAACACCCTGGAGGCGGTGATCCTGGGCTCAGTCACAGGTACAGACCCCGATACTGGCCTCGGAGGAGTCATCACGTATTCCACAAACAGCTCCTTCTTTGCCATCAATGCGACTACGGGTGTTGTCACAACTATTCCGAACGCACCACTCGACCGCGAGGCCGCGACTGTCGTGGAGCTGGTGATCATTGCCACTGACGGTGTTCACAACACGTCAGCTACCATCTTCGTCACGGTTTTGGATCGAAATGACAACCCGCCTATCCCCACCGCGTCAGTATTATACTTGGAAGCGGCCGAAGACTTTGTTGGCGAGCTTGCCATCATCACCGGTACCGATGCCGACGAGGGCGCCAACGCAGTCATCTCCTACTATATTGCCAACAGCACAGCAATGGCTCGATTTGCCATTGACTCTGTGACAGGAAACCTGACCTGTGCAGATCTTGATTATGAGGAGTCAATCCGCGAGATGATTATCGTAGGCTTGACGGATGGCCTCCCAGGTAGCAATGACTCCTTTGTGACGATCAACGTGAATGTCACGGACGTGAACGACGAAGCCCCCGTCTTTGACTCAACCACATACTACGATGTTTTTGAGAATGAGTTCGACGGCGCTGTAGTAGCTCAAGTCGTGGCCTTTGATCGTGACACGGGCAGCGGTGGTGTCGTGCGGTATGCATTGACAGCTGCGGATAATTGCACTGCCTTTTTTACCGTTGACCCTGTTACGGGCGTGCTGGAGACAGTCACTCGCCTCGACCGCGAGCGCCAAGAAACATTCACCTGCGTGGTTTTGGCTGCAGATCAAGGAAGCCCTTCACTCTCCTCCACGACCACGGTGGACATTGTCGTCCTTGACCGTAATGACAACGAGCCCAGCTTTGAGCAGACGGCGTATGCTTTCGACGTGGCTGAACTCTTTTTGGGGCAATTTGCTAGTGTCTCTGCCACTGACGCTGATACTCCTGCCAACACCAACATTTCATTTGGCCTGCTTGAGCCATCGGCTGCATTTGGTATCGACCCTCTGTCGGGGTCGCTCTTCACCAAAATCGCTCTTGACCGAGAGACCCGGGAAATGTATGAGCTGACCCTGACCGTCAGCGACGGCCAACTCTCGTCAACGGCCACTGCGCTCATCACTGTCACGGATGTCAACGACAATGGCCCTGTTGTGGCAGGAGGCACCAACGGCGCGGTGACAGAGAATATGCCATTCAACGAAACCGTTTTGCAGCTCATTGTGACCGACGCAGATATTGGCTTAAACGCCGAAGTCAACTACACGCTGCTCGGTAACGTATCCCTCTTTGAGATGGACCATACGGGGCGGCTTTACACCCTTGGCCCGCTCGATCGAGAGCTCCAGGCCAGCTACTTCCTATCTGTTTTGGTTCAAAACACGGCGCCTCCTTACTTTTCGACCACTGCCACAGTCAGCGTCACAGTCTTGGACATTAACGACAACGCACCTATTTTTGTGGCACCTCCCATGTCCGTAAGCATCCCCGAAAATGCGCCTCTAGGCCTGCTGCCCGTCGAGTTGGAGGTGACGGACAGTGATGTGGGCACCAACGCTCAGGTGACGCTGTCAGTGTTCGATCCCATCGGTAAGATTGACATAGATGCCTCAGGCCAGCTGTTGCTGATTGGTGAGCTCGACCGTGAGGCCCTGGCAGCGTTTGAGATTATGATCATGGCCATTGATGCGGGCACACCACAGCTGTCAACAAATATCACCATCATGATCAACGTCGAGGATGTCAACGACAACGCGCCCGTATTCGAGCAGCTAGTTTATGAATATGATGTGCCCGAAGATCTGGCTCTTGGTCCCATGGGCCTGTACGTTCATGCTACTGAGTCAGATCTCAATGAGACGACGACCTATGCCGTTGAAGACAACAACTACCTTGGCGTGAATAGCAGTTCAGGTGAACTTATTCTTCTGGCAGCTTTGGATCGCGAGAGTTTTGTCGAGCTCTTTGTGCAGGTGTCGGCCACGGATGTGGTCGGCAACAATGCAACGGCGCGTGTGGAGCTGACCATTACTGATGTTAACGACAACGCACCAGTGTTTGACCTCACCTCGTATAGCACCAGCATCAGCGAGGGTCAAACCGGCGCGTTGCTGTCCGTGTCCGCAACAGACGCGGACGAGGGCCTGGCTGGCACTGCAGGAATTCGCTTCCGCCTGGTGGACAATCCCAACAACTTGAGTCTAACGGTGGATGCAACGTCTGGTCTGATCACCCTGACTGCTGCCATTGATTATGAGGTTCTGCCCAACGCGACCTTCGTCGTTGAGGCCTACAACCTTCTGGATAGCAGCTTGGCAACCTCCGTTGAGGTTACTGTTGTTGTGCTGGACGTGAATGACAACGCCCCGGCCTTTACAGATGGCATTACCTCTGTATCTGTGACGGAAAATGCGCCGCTGAGCACTGTCATGGCTCAGTTCACTGCCTCGGACGTGGACGTATCCAGCACCTTGCTTTCCTTTTATCTTCGAAGCGCTGACGGCGTGTTTGCTGTAGGCGAGGTGACAGGAGTTTTGTCACCGCTCATCAACCTGGATCGCGAGACCCGTGCAGCTTACGCCATCATCGTTGGGTGCAGCGATGGCAGCTTCACAGTTGAGAAAACCGTGCAAGTTTCCGTGTTGGACCAAAATGACAACGAGCCCTTGTTCGTCGGCACAACACCTAGTAATCTATCGCTGTCCGAAGGTGCAGCCATCGGCGACGTGTTCTACACGTTTGCTGCCACAGATGCGGATCTCAACAGTAACATCACATTTGCTCTGGTTAACACCACACGTGCTGGCGTGTTTGCTGTCTCGCCAGATGGCGTGCTGTCATTAGCCAGCTTACTGGACTATGAGAACTGGACAATGGCGACCGTCGTGGTGCGCGCCGATGATAACGGCGGTCCGGCCGTGACTGTGGGCAGCAACATGACTGGTGCTGCCCTCACACCTTGCAAGGGTCACTGCACCGATCACGTCATTGTCCTGAATGTCGAGGATGCCAACGATAACGCTCCACAGTTTGCTGTCGCATACCAGGAGATCACCATCTCAGAGTCGCTGACGGTGGGCACGCCTGTTGCTCAGGTTAACGCCTCAGATGCCGACTCGGGCGTAAACGCCGAGGTACGCTTCTCAGTGACAATGGGGGGCTCCATTTTTGCCATTGACGCTGTGAGTGGCGTTCTATCTGTGAGTGGTACGCTGGATTTTGAGTCTGAAGAGACGATTCAGGTACAAATCATGGCCACGGACCAAGGCACGCCGGCACTCACGGCCACTGCCACGGTTCTCGTACAGCTGACAGACTTTAATGACAATGCACCACGGTTTGTTTCAAATCTCCCAACCTCTATCATGGTGGCGGAGGACACCACTCCGTCCAACCTGGGTGTTTGGGCCGCCTCAGACTTGGATTCTGGTATCAACGCAGTGCTCTCCTATAGTCTTCAGAACGATTTCAGCGGTCTCTTTGCTCTGCAGAGCACGACCGGACTTTTGAGCCTTGAGCAGTCTTTGGACTACGAGATGCGTCAGGCATATGATCTTACTATCATCGTACAAGACAGCGGCACACCGTCGCTTAGCACGAGCATGGTCTTGCGCATCAATGTTGGCAACGTCAATGACAACGCCCCGGTTTTTGTGCCGGTGTCGCAAACTTTGGAGGTCGAAGAGAACGCCGAATTTGTGACTCTCGTGACCGTGCAAGCCACGGACGCCGATGGCGACGTGCTGCGCTATCGCCTGCAGCCTACAGAGCACGCCGACGCATTTGGTTTGCAGGCCACCTCTGGTGTGCTGGTGCTGCGGGACGCTTTGGACTATGAGGCTGTCCAACAGGTCGACCTTGTGATCGAGGCATATGACACGACGGCTAATCCCTTGCGCGCCACCTTGAATTTGACCATTCATATTTTGAACGTGAATGACAATGCCCCAGTGTTTTCTCGGCAGCTCTACTCGGTCGACGTTTCAGAAAGCACAGCAATCGGGACAACCATCCTCACAACAACAGCCACGGATCTTGATGCCAGCGATACCCTCACATACACAGTGAGCGGTGCACCTGGTGTCGTGGTCATCAACTCAACATCTGGTCAGCTCTCAACAGAGGCTGGGCTGGACTACGAGCAAATGCAGAGTTACACCTTGACGGTCGTGGCCGAGGATCAAGGTGGGCTCGTTGGCACAGCATTGGTCTATGTCACCGTACTGGACGTCAACGATAATCATCCGCAGTTTGCATCCTCAGCCTATGCAGGTGCCGTCCCCGAGAACGCAGCAGCTAATACTGCCATTGCCATGAGCAGCGTGTTTGAGGCAACCGATGCCGACCTTGAAGTTGGCAACGTGGTCTCGTATGCCCTTGAAAACTCTTCTGCGCTGTTCCGGATTGAGGCTGAAACTGGCATTCTCTACACAACTGCGCCACTGGACGCGGAGGTGCAGCGCGTTTATTCTCTTTGGGTGCGTGCCATTGACAATGGCAGTCCACCCCTCTCGTCGGCCCTTGTGGCGGTTGTCATCAACGTGACAGACCTCAACGACAATTCGCCCGTCTTCATGGACCGCGGCGAAGGCGGTGTGGCATTCACCCCTGCACAAAATGGTGTGCGAGCCCAATACGAATTGACGACAGCGGATGACGATTGCACGGACAACTTTGAGCTATGCGATGTCGGTCGCGTGCTCCTGACTGTAGCAGCTAGCGATCTCGATGTCGGGACCAATGCAGACATCACATTCACATTTGCCACTGCATCGACCACACTGGCTATTGACGCTAGCTCTGGTGCCATTTCCCTTACTGCAGGCGTGGATCGCGAAGTCACGGAGGAACTTGAAGTCGTTGTGGTAGCTACTGATGGTGGTTCACCCGCGCGGGCGGTTGAGGCCCTTGTGCGCCTTTCGGTGGAAGACCGAAACGACAACAGCCCAGCTTTTCTGCAAGACGCTGTCAACCTGACCTTGGCCGAAAACACACCGGCCAATTCGGTGCTTGTAACCTTGACAGCCACCGACCCAGATGAGAGTGGGGCCGCGACAGTGAACTATTTCTTGGTTGATGCAAGCAACCGTATTCAAACGCACGACAGCTTTGTTGTGGGCCAGTCATCAGGCATTGTGTCAACCCGGCGCAGCTTGGACTATGAGACCGACGCACCGACCTATGAGCTGCGTGTGGCTGCGGTGGATCAGGACGAGAACCTGGCCGTGGCTATTGTCCGCGTTGCCTTGCTGGACGTCAATGACCTTGCTCCCACAATTTCTTTCGGAGGGGCCACGACCGTTCTCATCTCCGAGATTGTTCGCAGCGAGCTTCCTGTCGGAGGCCTTCTCCTTGAGGACGGTGACGGGTCTGACGAATTTTCCATGAGCGCAGTGGCTTGGTCAGTATCACCCACAACGAGCGCCTTTAGCGTGTCCTCCGACTACATGGCTTCTGGAAGTGTTGTGCCGATCTACGTGTCTAACCTAGCTTACGTAAGCACGGCAACGAATACATACACGCTAACTGCGCGCGCCTCCAATGTTGGCGGGACACCTTCGTCGGGTTCTGTTGCTCGTCAATATCGTGTAGTGCCATTTATTGATGCCGCTGAAACAGAAGATGCCCGCGCCGTGCGTTTCAATCTTCAGCGCCCCTCAATCTGCGACGAGTTCCCGGAGTATGATGCTTGCAGTTCAGCGCGACGTCGCCGCAACACGCTCAATCTCACGCGGGTCGAAGTGTGGATGCGCCGCAATTACGACTGTACCCCGGAGCTCTGTTTGGGTCAAGAAGGTGAAACTATTGCGATGGAGGATGGCTACTGCTGGTGTCAAATTTTTGGTCCCGCCAATGCCGACTACAATGCTTCAGCCGACACTTATGAGTTGGATGGACTCTTACCCAGCACATCATACCAGTTTCAGTTGCGCGAGTACGACGAAGGCAACAATCTCGTGTATAGCAGCCGATCCTACAGCCGCCAGACTCTTGACTTTAATGTTGATTCGGAGAGTGTCACCGTGCGCCAGCTAACGTCCCGGCCCAGCTTCAACGTCTCCTGGACGGCACCAAGTGAGCCCAACGGGCAGATCCTGGGCTATCGCCTGTGTTACTGCGCACCCAGCATTCCACGCAGCGATTGCTCGTGTAGTCTTGACGATGCCATGGCCGTCCCAGCCTCAGGGTATACCGACTTCTCTTGGGTGGTTGTCCCGGATCAGGGTGAAACCTTGGAGGTTGGTGTCAACTATTCATTCGTTGTGCAAACCCGTACTTTGCTTAACAACGAAGTAGTGGCGGTTGAGACGGACCCGATGGTGCTGAATACGGTTAATCAGAACACGTCCTCGACAGGATCAACATCCTCCAATGAAGCCGCGTCCTCTGCACTTATCGCTGCCATTGTAGTGGTTGCAGTGTTGGGGCTCTTGATCCTCGTCTTGGTTGTCATGTTCTTGCGCCGCAAGGACGCACGCACCGGTACCTCCAACCTGGGGCCCGCTATTTTCCCCATGGAGGATCGCACGCTGGGTGCAAGCACCAAAACGGTGACCATCGACCTGGATACTTTGAAGCGAGACATGCTTCAAGACAGCATGACCAGCTTGGACCAGACAGGCTTGAGCGCAAGCTCTGGGGCTGCTGTCAACGGCCTTGGTGGATCACAGTGGAACTACATGACTCAGGAGCGGGCGGAACAATTCTGGAGTGCACCCGATGGAGGCCTCGGGGCCAGTCAGGAGGAGCCCGAGTTGATGGAAACAAGCATTCCTCGTCGATCCTTTGGTCTGAATACAGTCCGTGTCATGGCCGACGGTGTGGGCGGAGTGCAGGTACGCAACAGTCCACTCGCGCCGCCCCGATCAGCGGCCACTCCCAATGCTGCATACCACCAACACCTGTCCATGCTACATGCGCGTTTTGCTGGGGAGGAGCGTACTCCCACGACGGTCGATGCCTCTTATTTGGAAGCCGTTGTTGAGGAGAGACGTGTGAAGAACCAGATTGATGCTGAGTTTGATGCAATCAAACACGACTCGGAGAGCTCGCCCTTCACGTTCAAGGCGGCCACTGAGACGTACAACGTCAAGAAGAATCGCTATGGCAATGTGTTGCCCATTGATGACACTCGCGTCTTGCTGTCGCACACAGGGCAACTCGGATCAGACTACATCAATGCCAACTACATTCCCAGCTGGACACGCGACAACGCCTTCATTGCCTCACAGGGGCCAATTGCCTCGACAGTAGGCGACTTTTGGCGCATGATTTGGGAGACAAATTCCTCCAGCATCATCATGATGACGCGTGAGGTGGAGGAGGGTCGCCTCAAGTGCTACAAGTACTGGCCCGAGCCGGAAGTACCAATGCGGGTGGGTGGCTACAGCATCGTGGCTCTGGACTACACCAATCTTTCACCCGAGTATGGCGTGCGCACGTTGCGCCTCATCGACCTGGAAACCAACGAGGCTCGCATCATCAAGCAATTTGACTACTTTAGCTGGCCTGATGGCGGAGCCCCACCCACGGCCGTGGGCTTTATCCGCTTTGTGCTCGACGTGAAGCAGCACATTGAGGCAGCGCGATCTGGGAATGAGGTTGGGCCGCCAGTTGTGCATTGCAGCGCCGGCATTGGCCGAACAGGCACCTTTTTAGCCATGTATGCTCTCATGCAGCGGCTGGAGTCACTGGGCAATGTGGATGTGGCAGCCACCGTTGCCTACCTGCGCATGTACCGCGCCGGTCTTGTGCAGACCGTGGTGCAATATCGGTTCCTCTACGAGGCCATTGTCACATATTACAAAACAAACCCACAGTTGTACAACATGACACGGGCTGCCACCGCCGCTGCGCAGCACAACGCTCGTGCCCAGGCCAGTCTCGATCCCCAGACAGTGTATGGAGCGTCGGGAGCTACGGCCAACACTTCCTTGTACTCTTCGACGAGTGCATCGTCCCAGCAGCACGAGCTGCAGACGTTCCAGGCGTCATCAGACGATGCCGACGACGACTTTGAGTCTTTGATTCAAACTTTGAACACAATTGTCTGAGCACAAGCCAGGACCATGGTTGATGGTGCAAAAAGGTGACGGACGTTGTAATTTCAGCTCACCTTGCTTCGTTCCTTTTGTGTACATCATGTATCCATCACATACCATCCTTGCTCATTGCTCAAAAACCAAGATCAAGAATAATTCATAGTAGTTACAGCACAGCATTTTGATCAGTGGATGAGGTGCCAAAAGCACCGAAAGATCGTACGCTCGGCGATGTGTGATACGATTTCCAGACTTTGCCCGACATACAATTGAGGCATTTGAACATTGATCAAGTTGGGACACTGTGTCCTTGAACATTTCTCTCCACTTGCTCGAGAAAACAGCAATTACGACGCACTCACAGAGAGGAAGAGAGAAAAGAGAGGGCTTGCACACCCAAGGATACTGGAGCTCAAATGGCTCAGAAAAAAAAAAAGGAAAGAAAGATAGAAAGAACAGAACATGGGAGTGGGGCAATGGGGCAGGGGAAGTCGAAGACTTAGTTTTCCTCGTCGGAATCTCCATAATCATCATCAGCCACCACTGACTTGCGAATCATGAGATAGCTAAGGTGATAAAATAGGATCAACAGAGTCAAGTGAGCGACGGAGAAAACGGGGCTGGCATACGCGTCTTCTTCATTCCCTTACCGAGCGCAATCGGGGCTCTTCGCCTTGGCCAATGCAAAAGGGGTTTCGCCATTGCTATTGACGATGCTTCGATCAGCCTTGTGCTCGAGCAGGGCCAGGACGACCTCAGCACTTCCCTTCCAAGCCGCGTTGTGCAGGGGCGTATCGCCAAGCTTATTTTGCACATCGACGCGTACGGTGGGTTGACCAAGAAGCTCCTGTACACACTCTAAATGCCCACCACGCGCTGCCCAGTGCAGTGGCGTCGAGCCTGCCTATTATTCATGGCAAGCCAAAAAAAAAAAAAAAAAAAAAAAAAAAAAAAAAATAAGAGTGGGCCTGGTCAAACACACTGACACTGACACTGACACTGACACTGACACTGACACCCAAACACCCGGACACCCGGACACCCGGACACACAAAGCAAAGCAGAGACAGAGACAGGGACAGAGACAGAGCGAGAGACAGAGACAGATACAGATGCAGCCAGCGAGACGAAGATGGATGGCGGCAAATCCGATTGTGAAGTTTGTAGGGGAGCACAACCAGCCAAGGACCCAAGGCGTACCTTGTCCAGTGCGTTTGGGGACACGCCAGCTGCAAGACTCTCCTGATTCAGACCAAAGGCATGAGGGGAAAAGATAGGTCAAACTTCATCAAACAAGGATGCGAAAACCATCAATGAAAACCAACCCGTAAGTAACTGAGATTGCCACGCTTGGCAGCATCATGCAGTGGGTTATCAATGGCCTCTGCATTGCCATCCGCCTCGACTAACGAATGCGCCACATGAGAGCGTGTCAGGGATTGGGTCTCGAGGGCAGATGAGTTCAAGCAGGATGTGCATGCCACGCACCGTAGTTGCCAGGAATGATGCCCGACTTTCCCCCAATGGTGGCGCGGTACCAGCCGTCAGCTTGCTACAAACGCACAAGAGTCATGTCAAGCATGGCTGGACTGGGCATGTAGTTGATGCCAATGTTTTGGCTGCGCCGCTTTCCTTTCTTTGGCTGGCTCGGCTTGGCTCGGCTCAGGGGCACAGGGTTAGCGGGGATGCTCGAGCATCCGATTGGTGACTGACGTACCTTTTCCTGAACGTAGATCATCTCCCCCTCCTCAAAGCTCAGCTCGTCCGACTACGAGGCCACAAACGCACAAGTATGGTGAGCTGGCACAAATCTTCGACAGTCTGCGCAACTGCAGCTGGGCCGAGGCCCTGGCAAAGTCCTCAAACACGAACATGCTGCGCAGTGTACGGATACACGGCACGGTAGACGGTGACGCGGCCAGGCTTGCGCGGGGCCGGGGGCGGGGCTTTGGGTGGCATGGTGCTGCTTTTCTATGTAAAAGTCGGAAAACATGGTTTGAGTTGACACGACAAGAGAAGACCAAGGCTTGAGAGAATGGTTAACAACAACTCACCGTACGGATACGCAAGGTCCGGTTGGTAATACGTGAAGCAAACCGCGGGAGTGGCGAAGAAACAGAGAACTGCGGCTGCGCGGCGATGAGTAAATGGCAGCGCGGAGGTGTGTGATTTGGCACAACAACAACATCAAGATCACTGAACACAGAGAAGAGAGAGAGAGAGAGAGAGAGAGAGAGAGAGAGAGAGAGAGAGAGAGAGAGAGAGAGAGAGAGAGAGAGAGAGAGAGAGAGAGAGAGAGAGAGAGAGAGAGAGAGAGAGAGAGAGAGAGAGAGAGAGAGAGAGAGAGAGAGAGAGAGAGAGAGAGAGAGATTAGAGATTAGAGAGAGAGAGAGAGAGAGACAGACAGACAGACAGACAGACAGACAGACAGACAGACAGACAGACAGACAGACAAACAGAATTAATGCAGACAGACTTAAAGTTGTAGTTGCCACCAAGCGGGGCCCAAGCCAGACTTTCGTCGCTGTTCTGGTACAAAACGTCGGTCCTATTCTTCTTGCTGAGCCAGGGGTCGACAGTCTCTTGCATTGTCATACTTTTTGGGCTGAGGAGAGGGAATAACGGAACGAAACAGCTCTTTTTCTGGCGCGAAAGCTGATAAACTGTCGACAAACAAGATTGAGCTGGATCGGCGGGGCAAACGCGACTTGCCAAGGCACCTAAGGACTGCGACTGGCAGTTGGTGCTTGTTTGGATAACGACGGCATGAATCGTGGACAGCTGGAGCAGCAGGCAGTTTTGCGCCATTTTCGAGAAGCCACCGAGTGCGTGCCAAACGACCCTATGCTCCGGCCTTCTGCATGCTGCTCACGATGCACTTTCTGATGCCCGCAGGCCACATACACATCAAGAGTTGTTGGGGTTTGCCCACCAGCGCAACCTCACGCCCGAAGGCTGCATTGCGAGTGTTGGCGCCCTTGTGGATGCGGGCCTCGTGCACAAGAAATGGATGGTCCAGCTAAAGTGCAACATGTATTGGCCCTCAGACAAGCTCCTGCACACCCACGTGAGTGCCATCTCTCCCCCGGTCTGGTCTTTTCTGAGCAGAAGATCAGAGGGCAGTACTGTTGAACCTCACATTCTGAACCTCGATGCACAAACGTACATGAACTCGTCGCGCCAACTGGGATCGCCAATTCTAGCCCGCCCTCCTGAAAACTCCGCTGAAGACGCCACGCAAGTCCATGGCTATGCAACCGGGCTCAGCGTCGGCAGCCGTGCCGACAACGCCCACATCTGTGGCGTCATCTCCAGCCAAACGCCCGAGCAGTAGCGACCCCATGGCCAATGGCGCCACAGCCTATAAAACACCCAAAGCCCGCGGGCGATTGCGCAGGCCTTTTGTTGTCCCGCGGTCGGCCCCTGGCGCGTCCACGCCACCATCCAAAGCGGCGTCACCACCAGCATCCCACCCACCCACCACTCCAGTTGGCACAAAGCGCGCCAATACAGCGGCGCCTACCACATCGACAGCTGCTTTCTCACCTTCCAAAGTCGCTCAAAGCCCAGCATCGAAGTTGCCCGCTGGTTCGGCAGCCTCTGATGTGGATGCCCTCAAAGCCGAGGTGGCTGAGCTGGAGGCCTCGTGCAAAGCCATGTCTGCCAAGCAAGTAACTGCCCCGACTCCCTGTCATCTTGGCCTTGGGCTTTGACTCATGACTTTTGAGGTCCTGGATGTGTCACCTTTTAGGTACAACATTGACGAGCTGGACGTTCTCATCGACCGTCTGCATCGATACAACGAAGTCAGTCGTCAATACAAGTCTGATTCGCCTGCTTGGCCAGCGACAGAACCAGGGACAGGAAGTGCAAGGGAGGGGCCTTCACCTCATGATCCATGCATTTTTTGCCTTGGTATGGTCACTCGCCCAGATCAAAGACATTGCACAACAAATGCTCGGCGACCTTGGTACGGTATTTTTAGTGTTGCCTTGCACCTGAGTGAGCTGCTGCACTGGTCACTGTTGTGGTGACGCACAACATCGCTCGAGTACATGCACAGATGCACAGATGCACATGCTCACGCTACTTCGGTATCTGCTTTTGTCTCGATTATGAGCACAGCCACCTTCAAGGGCTGCACTGTGAAGGAGATGTACCACGAATATGACATTGACTGGGACACCTGACACATTGTCAACCTGCTCCTGGTTGCACTGGCTACTGCTCTTCCGCCACCACGTGCTTGGACCGCTCCGCCTAAGAGAATAAGCAAAGCAGTGAGGTAGCCCCTCGTTGCGCCCAAACTCATATTTCTTCAACTCCTCTGGGAACCTTTGCGCCCGGTCAGAATTGTCATGCATATGATAACAGAAGTGAAGGACAATCTCACCTTGAAGGGCACGCTGCCTTTTTTGCTGTGAGCGCGACGATTGTCCTCTTTCCGTTTCTGTGAGCCACAGCATGGTTGCGCAAGAGATGATGAACAAAATTGCCACGCAGATTGTAGCTCTGCCCAGAGAGTGCAAGTCAAGCTCGCCCAATAACACGCAACCGTCATTCAAACTGTCTCCCAATTTAATCAACCCACCTCTGATTGTTCGACGATATGCTTGAGATTTTTCGCCGACTTGATGGCCTTGGGCAGATGACGCTGGCTGCAAAGCAGCGCACCAGATAGCACCGAGCATAACCGGCAGGTTCAGTTAGCAAACCACGATCACATGCCAGGCACGCATCAGAAGCAGACAAGGGGCGAGGCGAATGTGGGCATACCGCTGAATGCGTCGCACTTCGGGGTGGTGTTTGAAGCGTTCCTTCAGCTTCTCCTGATACTGGAGATTGGCCTTTTGCCGTGAAGACTTGGTGCCAATGTGTTCCCACGCTGTCGACTTCCATAGTCGCACGTTGGTCTCATCAGAGCCCGACAAAATGTAGCTACAAATTCACGCCACCCGGCGGTCGGTCGGTTAGTGAAGAGCAAGAGATCGCGCACTCGACGGCTCGTCAAATATGCACACCAGGGTGCGTACCGGTTATCACCCGACCACTGCGTACAATAGACTCGCTGCATGCGCTGCGTGTGATAAATTTCGCTGCCATCCGTTTCCGCGGCAAGGACACACGACGTGATGATTAGTTTCATGATGCGCGCGGGGCACACGACGGACGGGCAGACGATGACACGGTGAAAAGAGACAACGCCAGAAAGACATACCGGCTGTGGCCTTGACGAACGGAAAAGATACGGAGCGTGCAATCATAGGATGCGCTGACAAACTCTTGGCCGGTTGGTGAATAGGACACGTCCATGACTAAGTCAGGGTGGGGGGGGGGGGTGGCAATGGCAGGTCGGGAGGTGAGACAAGCCGACACCTGATTGGCCTGCACCAGTGGGGCCATGTTGAAAAAGCGGTGGCGCTCCACGGGGGGCGAATTTGTCGGGTGCCGGGTGTCGGGTGATGGAACGTGCGCCTTACCAGCCGACACGTGATCTTTGTGTACATTGAGAGCGTGCTTGAGCTTGCGCATGTCAAATGTGTACAGGTTGTGGTCTTCATTGGCCACCGTGAAGTTCATGGCCTCCATGGGGTTCCAGCATAAGCGGTTGCTTCGCATTTCAAGAACAACCTTGCTATAATATTGAGCGATGGGAGGGAGGTCAATGACAAAACTCAACACGAGTCGAGGCCATATCAAGCGAGGCCATATCAAGCACAGCCTTTGGCTTTGTTCTCTCGGGCAAAGCCGGAGAGCAAAGGGGCTGCAGCACGATCAGGTCAGCGGAAGCAGCACATACCGCATGGGAGATGAGGCTCGGATATCGTAAAGTGTGATGGAGCGATCATCCGCCGTGGTGGCAACAACGTTTGTCTCAACAGGGTTGAACCGGACGCAATTACAAGTATCAACGCCCCAAGTAAGGTCGCGCAGGGGCTCACTTCGGAGCTGTGACCACAACTCCACAGTTGGGCCGCATGTGACAAATTTGTCCTCTACGGAGACGGCCATCAATAACAGGAGCGCGAGCGCGTGATGCAAAAGAGTTGAGATCCACGGCACTATGCCTTGACTGCTGCATATGCAACGGCCCGATACGCGCCGCTCGACACGCTGTGGACGCAGAGAGGTGATTCCACTGACCAAAGCGGTGGTGAGACACGTCGTTGAAGAAGTTTTGCCCAATAATGCTCAAAGGGGCTTCCTCTTCATCCTCATGACCACGCTCGGCTGCCTCGACACCCATTTGATCCTATGTCAACATGCAAATATAAAAGCATGATCCCAATCAGCGGGCAGCCGGGGGAACATCCAGGATCATCTCAAACGTCAGAGAAGCATCAAGGGATGGGAGCATGCAATACGAACCAGCTTGGTGACTTTGATAGTCTTATCAGCGCCAACCTTGACAACGCCAAGTGAGAGGGAGATGAAATGACGTCGCTTGTGAGTCAATACAGCGTCATGACGCGCGCACAGCTGTGAGCAGGGTGAGACGGCTAACATACCGTAATCACCTTGTCGGCCAAGGGCGTGAGAGCAATACCACGAATAAAACCGCTGTCGTGGTACAAAGGCCATTGGAAAGTTGAGACCAAGCCAGACTCAACAGCAGACCGCGATCAGCAGGCCCTTCAATGTCGGGTGCAGTTGACGCTTGGCCAGACTCACCGGTGCAGCGTGCGTGCAAAGATGCATTCTTGCTTGGCCAGATTCCAGGCACGTAGCTCACCATCGCAGGCCCCGCTGAAGACCACGCCCAAGCGCTTGGGGTGCGGGGCCAGGCAGTGCACGCCATCCCGGTGGCCTGGGGTCGAAACGCGAGTGTAGCAGGTGCAAGATAAGAGAAGACACGAATACTATCCCATCACCCTGTCAACGGGCGACGTCATACGAGCGCACCGTCAAGGCCGGCCACAAAGGGCTTTGCAAACATGCGCTCCATCTTGACAGCATTGACGGCACGCTTGTATTCGCGCGCAGCTTCAAGGGGATGAAGATTTGGGTCCACATTGCTCTGCATGGGATGAATGTCATGCTTGGTCCTGCCGACGTCGAGGGCCAGGAAGGCACAACGCAGGCATGAGTCGAGCCCCTCGACGCCAATGCTGCAGTCAAAACCAAGGAGAGCCCACATACTTGCGCTGGTATTGGCGCGAGTCACGCGACAGCGTTTTAATCTTCATCGTGCCTGGTTTGATCGCCTTCCAGACTTACCGCTCACCACGACCAAGACAAGCCAGAGGTAAAGAAAAAAAAAAATGCTCGACTCGCCACATGCACACGCGGTGTTTGCGGTTTTTGCACGCACACGGCGAAATAAATCTGACATTATGACATATGCTCACTGCTTTCGAGCTCTCATTTTGCTGGCAACCGATCAAATTTTTGTCGTCGCTGGTGCTGGTGCTGCTGTTGCGCCCTCCTCCGCCTGCTGCTGGTGCTGCTGGTGCTGCTGGTGCTGCTGGTGCTGCTGGTGCTGCTGGTGCTGCTGGTGCTGCTGCTGGTGCTGCTGCGTCTGCTTGTCGTTGTTGAAAGCGTCGTTATGGTGACGACACGCCGTCGCGCGACTGCGGGCGAGGCAGCAAAGGCTGTGCCCGAAGCAGCTCCTGAAGGACGGTCCCTCGCAAGTGATGCTGCTGCTGGTGAGGAAGCACCCCCAGCCACACAAGCCGAAACAGAGCATGCCGGGCCTGCAAAGTCACTACGCAAAGGCTCGGCCATTGAAGCAGCGCTCCGCAGTGCCACCCAAACAGCCTCGTACAACGTCATTGTACAGGTATGACGCGATAGGGTTCGATCAGCTGCGCAAAAACATACAGTCCTGCGCCAAAGGGTCGCGCCTCGAAGCAGTTGGGCACCCATGTTCACCGATACCGTTGCTCGGCGCTGCCTCCTACCATGATTCCCTTAGCTGGCGCTGCGGGTGATAACATTTGTATCCAACGCCATCATTATTCGCCACGTCTCCAAGGAGTTTCTTGGCGTCGTCAATGTGCGGTGCGTGGCGAGCTCACCAATTCCTGTGTGCACACGTCCGCCAACCGCCGTCGCACGCTGACCTCTTTGGCACTGATACCTTAGGCTCATGTTGCTATACTCAACAGTCATCTTCTTGGCACGTGAAGCTTTTATCAAAGCCTGCCTCAGTGCTAATCGCCATGAGCGGAACAAAGCCTACTGGGCCGGCATTGTCAATCTCTGCTGGCTTGTGTAAGTTGATGCCACGCCCTTTGGATGACACATGCCCAGCATTCGTATCAGTTGCATGTCCCGCTCGTCTTTATGATGGCTTGAGTGACAACCGCCAAACCAGGCATGCTGACGCCATCGCCGGCAAATTGCAATCTGCGAATTCAGGCCTATTCTTGGACTCTTTTGGAGTACCCTCCTTGGGTTTGTTTGGACCAATTTGATCAAGCAGGTGCGAACAATCTCATGGCGGCTTTGGCACGTGTGGCATCCTTGGAGGCCCTCTGCGGTTCATCGCAGCCACAATCTAACAAGGCACCTTTCTTCTGAATGCCCTTATCCCTCTCGCCGCTTGCTAGCCTGACTTACCCGGCTATGAATATGCCGTGATGGGCTACGCGGCTGCAGCCGTAATTGAGCTGCTCGCCGTGCCAGCGCTCGTCATTGAAATGATTCATCTCCGCACCACCCGCAAGGTATGAATTTTGACCCCCTTTTATGCTTTACTGCGTGATCAGAGCCCCAAGCTAAGGCGTGTGTCATTCCTTGAATCGCAGGTCGTGGCAGAGGGCGCCGCCTTGACCGTGAACATCATCATCCGACTGGCCCTGGTCATGTTGCGACCCGAGTGGGGACTTTTCAACGTGTGCCTGGCCCAGCTTGCGCATGCCGGTAGGCGACTGCCTCTTTCCTCTCTTCGCCTTTTGCGTGGCTCCGCGAGTCAGACGACAGCGACGTGGACTGGATGAACGCTTGTCAGCATGATAATGACCTCCGCGTGACTTTGCCCGCCACAGCCACATATTTGGTTTACATCTGCGGTACCTCCCTGCTTGACGTTCAGCAAGGTCAACATCCGGTATTTACATCAGTGTGGGACATGCTGCCTCGCAGCTTGGGGTACGCCTAGCATTATAGCACAGACCGCTATGTTCGTGTACACCGAGACTTTTCAGCCGCTCACTTTGGGCCCGCTATCAGGGGCAAGCCATGGTATCGCGCCGTCAACAAAGAGATGGCTGCAATCGCCTGGGCGTTTAGCCAGCATGGCATTCTGAAGCAGCTCCTGACCGAGGGCGAACGGTGAGGCTGCGTGTGCCTTTCCTGCAGGGCGGCCGCGCAATCCAGGCGCCATGCTCACCCCTTTGCCCGTTGTTTCAGCTACTTGATGACCGTATTTGGACTCCTGACCTTTTCACAGCAGGGCGTTTATGACGTTGTCCATAATCTTGGCTCATTGGTAGCGCGCTTTTTTTTCCATGTTGGTAGCTGACTTGGCCCCGCTCCTCTTTTCCCCTGCATGTACCGTACAACAGAGCTGGCGATGGTGGCCGAATACAATTGCCTTGCCTCATAATGGGTCTTTTCCAAACTTTGTGTAGCCGATTGAGGACAATTATTATCCCTTTTTCGCGGCACTGTTGGAACGTAATGGCGCTAAAAGCAGCGAGTTGTCGTCCGAGGGCAATAACGGCAATTCCTCTGACCGTCGCCCCAGTGAGGCCGCTTTGAACGCAGCCAAAGCCGCCTCGGAACACGACCTGGTTGGAATGGCTTGGTTTGCAAATTATGCGAAGGAAGCTTGAGGCTTTGATTTGTTGCTTTGTGCACGAGCAACCCCTCAACCACCTTGGGCGCATGTGGTATTGGCATTCGCAGCAGGTGGCTGGACAGACGCTGTCGGTGTTGTTCAAGCTCATGATCCTGGTGGGCGCGACCATCGCCGCTTTTGGTCAAGGCTATGCTCAACTGCTTTTGCATATCTATGGAGGTAGGCGACCGCTGCGCGTGCCTTCAACCTGACACTGGTCAGACTCGAGGTTTTATGCATGCAGCACTCTAATTCGGGGGCTTCCTTTGTTCAAGGACCAACTTTGTCGGCCAGTGAAGGCCCGATACTGCTGCAAGCCTACGCTGTCTATGTGCTGTTCATGGCGATCAACGGAATCACCGAATGCTTTGTGTCGGCGGTACGTGTTGTCTTAAGCTGCTGGTTCCGGCTTGAGAGCACGCCATGCTTACTGACGCGCACTCTCTCGGCAGACAAGCCACGAGCAACACATTAACACGCACAACCGCTGGATGGTGGTCTTCTCGCTGGCCTTTGTGCTGGCGACTGGCGTCTTTACCAGCTACTTTGGCACTGTTGGCTTTATCTTAGCCAATTGCTTCAACATGATTCTGCGCTCTGCCCACAGGTATGCCCTAGTCCGTGGTGGCAGCAATCGTCCCTTGGCTACAGGGCCAGCCTTACTGTGCGCTTGGTGATTATAGCGTACATGTGATTGAGGAGATTGTCCACACCAGACCGGCTTTGGGGCATCCGCTCCAAGAGGGTTTACCATCAAACATGGTCCTGATGTCCTACCTCCTCACGCTAGTTGCGGTCTGCGTTTCACGGATGCAGTTTTTGCCCGATACAAGCCTGTCTTTTGACCTGCATGCGGTCTTGCTCCATGTGGGCGTGGGCGTCGTGGGGCTGGCATTTGTGGCTATGGCCCTCATGGCCGAGGTACGGTGTCAGCGCAAAGCCTGTCTACTATGGTCTGCTTTGGGGAAAAAAGAACACTCACTCAGCCTGTACGTGGACAACACGCTTGTTCAAAAATAGGAGGAATCCTTTCTGCAACATGTACGAGAGCTTACCTTTGGTCGTCAAAAGAAGACACAGTGAATTACATGTATATGCCCCACCCCTTTCCCTTCTGGTGACGCAAGGAGCGGTGCATCGTTCAACTGTGACGTGTGCGCAAGGCAGTGGGGAAGGGACGAATCAATTGATGACAAAATACACAATCAACACGCGAGAACAACTCTCAATCTGAGCATGAATGATAGGCCTTGCCTGCGCGGGACCGTGAATCAAGGCCCGGACACGGTAACGGGCCAAGAGTGTCCATACGCACGCGGCGCATTCAGCGAAGGAGCTCAATGTTGCGTCGAAACGAGTTGCACCATGGCAGCTGAGTGGGCTTCACGTTGTGATTTGTTGAAGCTGAGAATCGGCATTTCGTCGTTCCAGAACTTGCGTCGGGCCGCCGTATCGCGGGGGCCCGCAACGTGTGATGCACCCCGAGCAATTTGGTCCAACACCTGAGTGTAGCAATGGCGCAATGTCGCGTCGCGCTGCTCCTCAGCCACCTGATTTGCAATTTGTGCACCGTACACCGTGCGTAGCAATTGATCCAAGACTCGGTCTCGAGCCACCAGCTCGCCATGCGTCGGGGTGGGGGGCACGGCCAGTCGTCGTAGGCGCTCGGCCTGCTCCAGCTCATTCGATGCAATGCGGTTGAAGTGAGAGAGCATGGCCTGCATGACCAAGGCGTGATGCTCTTCTGTTATGCGGCGACTGCGCTCCTCCTCCTCAGCTGCGATCACCTCCTGCTTGGCACGATGGTGGGCGACGTCGGCGCACACGCCCTGCATTCGTTCGTGATGCACACGTTCCGCCCGCTCCTGGTTCTCAATCTCGTCCAACTGCCGCCGACGAGCATGAGCGGCAGCCTCCTCTTGAACCTGCAGCATTTCTTGCCCGGGCTGACGTGGTGCGCTGATCCGCGCCAAGCGCTCCTGCTCTTCCAACAGCGCGGCTTCAGCACGCGCTCCGCTGGCACGCAGCTGCTCGCACACCTGGTCCATGATCCGACGCGCCTTGGCAGCTTGCAGTTCTTGTGCCGCTGCGCGAGTCGCAAGGCGACGGTTAATAGTACTTTCGATGGCCCGCAACACCGGCCCATACCGATGCTCGTGCATGGCCGCAGCGTGCGCATCCGCAGCGAGTTCATCGGCTTGCCGGGCACGCGCGGCGCGCACCACGTCGTCGAGCACTGGAGCCATGCGATCAACCACCATGCGCTCCTGGCGCTCTGCTTCGGCCGCACGGTCCACTTCACGGGCATGGGCCCTAGCCACCACCGCCTCACGCAGATGCACTTGCGCGGGTGCAAAGCGATCCGCGGCATGCGTGTCGCCTTCTTCAACTTGACGGCGCCGCTCCTCGTCGATGGCAATGTCCGCAAAATGACGAGCCACGTGACGCTCCTTGGCAGCCAACAGGTCTTGATCGTGTTCGACGCGCATGCGCTCCTCGCGTTCTGCTTCAGCCAAAAGGTCCGCCGTATGCGCAGCGTATTGCTGCTCAAGCTGACCCATGCAGTTGCGGTGAAACTCCTCCTGCACGCGGCGACCTCGCTCCGCCTCACACTCGGCGCGCAGCATGCCGCGCACATAGTTGTTACGCAGTTGATGAAGTACTTGATGCATGTTGCCCCGCTGCTTGCTCATCTGAATATGTTCCTGCACTGCACGAGCCACATCGCGACATGCCGCTTGTGCGCGCAGTTGTTCCAGCACATCCACAAACTGATGCCGCGCAACCGCTTCAGTGGCCGCAGCCCGAGCCACAGCCTCAGATTCGCGCGCTTGCATAGTCGTAGTGAGCTGCTCAAGAGTCGCAGAAAGTGCGTGGCGGTGGGAAGCGGTGGGGGGCGTGTCATGCACCGGCTGCTGACACAGATCCTCGTACATGCGGCGCGTGCCAGCTTGCCAAATACCCTCCTGGACACCAGCAGCAAACAGGTACTCCTGGGTTCGTCGTACACGCTCTTCGTCCATGGCTTGGTCTGCCTGCGCGGCATTGGTTGCACGCTGCAGTTCGTCCATGACCTGGTCGTAGGTTTGCTGAGACACTTGTGCGGCTCGCTCCTCCTCAACCAAAGTGCGCAGATGCTGGACCACGGCTTGATTGGTCAATTGCCCCAGAACCAGGTTCATGTTGCTGCGGGCCATGCGTTGGGCTTGCTCGGCCTGCTCCGCTTGGCGCGTGTCGCGGCGGTTGTGAAAAGACAGGAGGGCTGGCAATACCTGCTCGCGCATGTGTGAAGCAGCCATCTGCTCGTCTTGCTCCATACGTGAGCGCTCGCGTGCTTCTGCTTGCGAGGCACGAGAAAGTAGCTCGGCGTGCAGGTCGTCCAATTGCCCAATGACCTCGGCCGTCGTTGCAAGGTTCTCGGGGGCTTGGCGGCGCGCCTGCTCCTCCAGCGCCGCAAGATCCGCAAAGTGGGCGTGAAGCTGGCGCAGAACATCGGCTTGATATGCTTGATGTACGTTGTCAGCCATTTGCTCGGCGCGTTCCGTTTCCATGGCACGGTCAACAGCGACCGCGATGCAATGACGCTCCAACTGGTCTAAAACCTGACCAAAGACGTCGTGGTGCATGCGCTCGGCGCGCTCGAGCTCCATGGCGGAGCGGGTTTCGCGTGCACGCAGGGTCGACTGAAGCTGGGGCAAAACCACGTTGGTGAGCTGAGCTTGCTGTACCCGCTGGGCTTGCTCCAGGTCGCTGGCAGCATTGGCTGTCTTTGCGGCGCTGCTACGGCGCAGCTGAGGTAGCACTTCTGCCCGCAGATATTCCAGAGCACTGCGCTGAGCGCGTTCGTCGTCCATGGCACGGCAGACCTGACGCGTGTGCACTAGCCGCTCGATATCTACCATGAGCTCACGCATGGCATCGGCATCAAAATGGTTCACTGCTGCTTCGATGTGATCATCGGTCAGGGCCTCAGCGCGGCCCACAGCAGCGGCGGCCTGGGCCGTCTGGGCAGCACTGCGGCGCTCCAAATCTTCGTGCAGATGCGTCATGAGATCATAGTGGATACGCTCGGCGCGCTCGTGTTCGGCGGCTTGGTCAGCGTCGCGGGCAGCCACGGCGCGCTCGAGATCGGTTAGAACGTGCTGCATTTGGCCCTGGGCAATGCGCTGGTGCTGCTCGAGATCAGCCGCTTGGTCAACTTCCTTGGCATGGGTACTGTGCTGAAGCTCTTCAAACACCCGCTGCATGACGTTGTCATAGTATGCGTGAGCGTCGCTCTTGTTTCGGGCCTGTTGCAGTTGGAGCTCAAAGACGCGCTCCATAAATTGTGCCAAAATGGCGTGGAGCACATTGTTGTGACCGACAGTAGGAGCGGCTTCTGCCACGCGGCGTTGTTGCTCGGCTTGTTCGGCATGGCGGGCTTGCTCGCGGGCGGCAGCAGTCTCAAGATGACGCAGGACCATGTCGTAGCGAAGTTTGTTGATGCGGGCGGCCTGCTCGCACATGGTGGCATGAATGGCAAGCTTGGTGTTGTAGGCAACAAGAAGCTGTTCGTGGACTTGCTTCAGGTGCTGCTCAACCTCAAGGGGCCGGAAGCGGTTTGCATCTGGATCCGAAACGCGACGGCGGCGCTCTTCTTCGACGGCCTGATCAGCGTCGCGGCAGTTTGCGATGCGCACCGCCTCTTGCAAGACGTCCAGGTAGCGCTCCTCGGCGACGCGACGTTCGCGCTCCTGTGTCACACACAGTGCACCATACACAGAGTCAGAACGTGGCGAGGCACCGAAGCCTGGGAAGCTTGGGGGCATGGTTGCCGGCGAATGGCAGAGTGGGGGACAGATTGCGTGCGTACCTCGTTCTCCAGCGCCTTGGCCTGACGCCGGGAGGCTGAGCTGAGCATCTGGCCATGAACCTGCTCCTTGAGCTTTTGCTGCTCAACAAGCTGACGCTTGAGCGTTGCCATCGTGTCAAGAAGTTGACAGGAAACAAGAGGGAAGCAAGCTCGGTGCAGAGGACGAGATATCAGAGGTCTAAAAACACAAGTATCTCAAGTGAGAAACCATGAAAGGGCAGCGGGTGGGTCGGCAACAAGAGAGAAAAAATGGCACGGGCGGGACTGGTCCTTGCAAATGAGAGGGTGGCAGAGCAGCCAAGACCTTCTTGGCACAAGCAGACAAGGATTGTGGAGGGCTCGGATCACAAAAGGGAGTCAGAAGGGACGCGGGAATGATAATAATAATAATAATAGCATGGTTTGTGCAGGTGCAATCCAGATAGAGTTGGTCAAAAGCCCAAAATTGTGGACAAGCGAGACCGGCCCGAGTGCAAGACCCGGCTCGCCTCGGCCTGGCGACGCATGTGGTAGCAAGGGGATGGACAAGCGCTCACTCGTGTCACAGCCGAATAAAAGTGTCAAAAGTGTCAGGCTGTTTTTGTTGATGTGTGATGATGGTGATGGTGATGACGGAGAAGAGCAAGGAGCTGAAGCAGACTCATGATGCTGCCAATTAATTGGCAGCACACATCCCAAGGCTCGGGCACTTCTGCCCAGACATTCCACCAGCGCCTCAGCGACATGCGGACCAACCCATATCCAGCCACCACCACCGACCAGAACCCGGCCCTCCTGTCAACGCAGGCCTCACCTTGACAACACTCCCTTTGAATTGGATGGCCGTAGAAAGAGCCACAAGAGAAAAGGAAAATGACGTCGTCGTGAAACAGCTTCCATACAAGGTGGTGGTGGTGGGGGATGCTTCGTCTGAGTTAACACACCCTAAGCATGCACGAGCGGTGCTTTTTCATTGTATGGTGTGTGTGTGTGTGTGTGTGTGTGTGTGCGCGCGCGCGCGCGTGCGTGCGTGCGATTGGTGTGGTACCGCTTGGGTGCTCTGCGATTGTTGCAGTACCGCTGCTGGTATTGCTCGACTGCCGTTTGCTTCCCCCCCCCCCCCCCTACACGCCAACAGCACTGCTGACATGACGTGGTCCACATTGCCCATGAACTCTACCAAGGTTACATGTGTACATCATAGGGTTGGATGGTAGTGTTTCAAACAGTTGTTGAACGGTAATATTTAAAGTGGGAGCATGGCTACACTTTGGTACATTGCCTGACGACGGGCTTATTGTCAGCAAAATTTGGTAGATCCCTTGGTCCTCCCCTTTTTGAGCGGGCAGACAACCTCTCTCTCTCCTCTCAGTCTCTCTCTCTCTCTTGTCTCTGTCTCTCTCTCTCTCTCTCTGTCTCTCTCTCTCTCTCTCTCTCTCTCTCTCTCTCTCTCTCTCTCTCTCTCTCTCTCTCTCTCTGTCTCTGTCTCTCTCTCTCTCTCTCTCTCTCTCTCTCTCTCTCTCTCTCTCTCTCTCTCTCTCTCTCTCTCTCTCTCTCTCTCTCTCTCTCTCTCTCTCTCTCTCTCTCTCTCTCTCTCTCTCTCTCTCTCTCTCTCTCTCTCTCTCTCTCTCTCTCTCTCTCTCTCTCTCTCTCTCTCTCTCTCTCTCTTTCTGTGTTCACCTGACGAGAGAGGAGCTACAACAGGCAACAGTCGACGGGGGCTCTTGAAGCGACCTCCCCCGCCTCCATTCTTGAGAGCACATACAGAGGGTCGAGTCAACATGGCGACGGCGAGCATGTCGCGCGAGACTTCGCTGCCCGGCGCCAGCGTCGTCTCGGCGGAGGCGGAGGCGCCACCCATCACCAACCAGTCTGCTCAAGCTCTCCGGCACGATGAGAGTATGGAAGAGGCCATCCCCTCGCTCGACGAAAACGCGTCGCGACCGACGAGCCGGAGCATGACTGCCGAAGCAGGCCCCAAAAATCATACCCGATCGTATGTCGAATCGCCCCTCCGCCATGACGAGCACATGCTACCCCAATGCCACCATCAACACCTTCACCCCCTCGTGGCCGAGCTCATCCCCCTTCTCTCCCTGCTTTGCCCCCCTCACCCCGCTTTTGGCTGCGATATGATAGCAATCGGGTGGCACCCGATGACAAGCATGACTCCTCCGGGTCGGATGATGCTCAACAACGTGCCTTGGCCTGGCGTGCCTCCACTTCAAGCAGTCTGTCAAGCGAATTGGACGACAGCCGCAATAGCAAAATGACAACCAACACGGTGACTACCGTTGCCGTTCAGCCCATCGAGACAACAGTCCTCAATCTGGATGACATTGACGGTGGCAAGGAAAACATGCTCAGCCCAGCAGAACACGAGCTGGCCAACATTTCCACTGTTCTCCACCACCGTACCTACGTGCCCCTGGACCTCGCAACCCAGCGCATAGCCGAGGTATTTCGAAGCGCCTTTTAAACCCGAGCCCCTGAGTCGGCCCTCATTCTTGCCCAACCCCTCTTTCGGAACAAACACAGCTTCAAAATCATTTGACAGAATTGCGTACCGCACATCTTGCCATGATTGACCAAGTCTCAAGCCGTCAGCGCACCTCCCAGGTGTGACTTTTTGTTCCTTGTGCCATCGCTCTGCTGTTCGCCCGCTTGACCGCTGTACGAAGCTGGCCCGTCTCCTCACTCGCTTGACCCAACAACCAAAATCAGGAGGCGTTTGAGAAGCAACACCGTGCCCATTTGGAACGCGTGCAGTATGTCTGCCCCTTGATGTCGTTTCTACAACCGTCATGTGCCCTTTGCAATCGGGTTGAGGCTTGGCTCTGACCTGCCATTTCTCCTCTGAACAGAGCTCACTATCAAGCCAAATTGGAGTTGCAACAAGAGGTTCGCTTTGCCAACGTGTCAATCGTGTGTCTTCATCACAAACCTCATCCGCCTCCCCCTTTTTTTCTTGTTGTCAGATGGCCCTAAACATGCGAGCACGCATGACGGAACGCTGTCAACAGCTCCAGCAACAACTTGCCGTTTTGCAAGCCAGTGGGCCCGGCACCACTCTCGTCGTACGTTCTATACTGGCCCCAAAGCCCCGAACCTGGTACCAGCACCTTTCGCGCGCTCACGAACGCTTGGGGCCATGACGCCTGCCTATTGAATGTCCGTGCCGATGCAGGCCACCACGCCGACAGACTTGGCAGCAGCAGCCAGCCAACAGCCCGCCGGTAATTGGACTGATCTTTTTGTTTTGTTTGTTGTTTTGCGTTCTTCGTGAGGCCACACATGTGAGCCTAGCCTGCAAGTGCCTTTGCAACTCTTATTGTTGTCGTTGTTCTCTACTTTTGCCGCCCCTGCATCACGTTAGCCGACATCCAGCTCGAGACGCAAGCTGGCAGTGGTGCGGTCAAACCCGACGTCACGGCTGAACACAGCGACCCTGCACTGTTGGTAGGGACCGAACGCTCTCGGGGATTGACAGACCCCGGGAGCGACGTGGACGCGGATGAGGAACGAGACATCAACGCCGACGATCAGGCCGACGCCGTTTCTCTTGGAGCCAACAGTGAAGGTGGTGACAGCAACGATGATCACACTGCAGAGGATGGCGAAGAAGACGTCGACGAAGACGAAGACGAGCTGGCCGATGACCTCGAGATGGAGGGTGAAGACAATGCTGCAGCGATGGCGGTGCATGCTGAAGCCGTGCAGAAACTCGAGGCAGAGATAGCACGACTCACTCAGGAGATGGCTGAGCACGAAGCCACTTTTGATCGGGAGCAGCATCGCCTGCGCCGTGAAATGGAAATGCACGAAGAACAGGTCCGCAAGGCACAAGAAGAATTGGCGGCTGTCACAGCTGCCAGCGCTGCCGATAAGGAAGTTCTGCAGCGCGAGGTGGAGCGCAAAACTCGACGCATGGATGAGCTCAAACAGGAAGTTCGGCAGCTTGAAGAGCGCCTGGAACAGCTTGAGGAAGAGCGCCTTGCCAACGTCGAGGTTGATGTGGCCAACGAGATTCGCGACCTCCGTGCCAAGCTTGCCGAGGAGCAAAAGTCTCGCGATCAGCTGCGCGACCAACTGCAAGAGGTAACGGCCAAGGAAGATTCAGCAGCTGCTGAACTGGGCGTCGCACGCAATGCTTTGGAGCAGCAGACCGTCGGGCTTGAACGATTGCGCGAGGAAAAGGAGGCCTTGCAGACCAAGTCCAGCACCCTTGAGAACGATTTGACTCAAGATCGACAGCAGCTGGCCGAACAAACGGCGGCCTTGGATGCCCTCCAACGCAAGGTGACGAGCCTCCAAACCGAGATGCAGGAACAAAAGCGCCAGGCCAAGAAGAAGCTGGCTGCTGCGACGAGTGCTGGTACTGGTGGGGCGAAAAGCGCTGCCCTATCATCAACGAAAGAGAAGCAATACAAGGAAGAGGTTTGCTTTCGCTCGGCCTGGTTGTGTTGGCTTCAATGTTTTTTTTTTTTTCTTCTTTAAAAAATGACTTGTTGTTTCTGTTTTCTAAGGATCTGAATCTGGAATGTAGTCGCAAAACGTGCTGTGGCTGTTGTACGCGTCCTAACGATCCGCGTGTTGTCTGGCCACTTGACAATCTTTCAGATTGCAACTCTCAAGACCAAGTTGAAAGAGTCACGAAGCGCAGGGGGCAGTACTGGCGGTGGCGGCGCCTCGTCTATGGAGATGCAGCGGCTGGAGAAGAAGCTGAAGGACGCCGAAAAGCGGGTACGGGTTGGAACACCGGTGGTTTCAATCATCGCGTGTCCTTCTCACGGGCGTACTCTTGGTAGGTGGAAATGTACAAGGCAGAACGGCAAAAAGATGGCAAGAGCTCCGCGGCTATGCAAGAAGACATAAAAGCCAAGGACAAGCAGATTATGAAATTGCAGGCGGAAGTGAAGCAGATGCAGGACGACATTGATGCGGCTGAGAAGTTGGCCTCCAACAGTTTGGAAAAGTTACAAGAGTTGGAAGTGCTCAAGGTTGAAGCCCATCAGCTGCGAACCGATAATGCTTCACTGCAAGAACAAGTCAACGAGGAGCGCAAGCTGCGCAAGCAGTACTACAATAAGATTGAGGATATGAAGGTGCGCAGACTGTCGGGGGATTGGTGTCAGCGTATGAGAGATTGCGACAAGCCAGACAGATTGCGTCAAAGGTTTGCAAAAGGTGCCGACTCAATCCTTGGTGGCTTGGGTCTAGGGCAAAATTCGTGTTTACTGTCGAGTTCGCCCGCTCAGCGGCAGCGAGAAGGCGCGTGACTGTGTGTCAGTGGTACACTCTCCCGATGAGTTTACGATGGAGATTCGTGATGGTCAGAAGGCTGAAGATTTCCAGTTTGATGCGGTAAGACGCAAAGGGTTGATGAGATCGCGAATGTTACTCAGGGAGAAGCAGGCCCAGGCTAGGCCGGATAGGGGGATCGGAAGCCAGCTTTTGCATGCCAGCAAGCAGTGGGCAAAGCAGTTCCATCTGTTTCTACACCACGCAGCTCACTAGCGCGCCCATGACCAAACTTTTAATTTTCTTCAGGTCTTTATGCCCGGTACAGCCCAAGAGCTCGTGTATGAAGACACAGGCAACCTCATTCAATCAGCCGTGGATGGATACAACGTGTGCATTTTTGCCTATGGCCAGACAGGTTTGTGCCTGGCCTGTGTCTGTCCTGTGTTTGTCTCTTCGCAATGGGGGTGTTTAGAGAGCCATGTGTGTGAAGATCGTTCGCATTGAAAGCAGTCGTGCTCATCATGCCTGTTCCCGTTCGGCTACTTGGGCGTTGATAGGCTCGGGCAAGACCTATACCATGATTGGTGACAGCGGCATGACTTCACCTGGACTAGCGCCCCGAGCTTTTGAGGTTTGTGCCCCAATGAGTTTGAAGGATTTTATCATGCGGCCTTGCCAAGGAAAACTTTTGCGTTGAATGACTGCGGCGGTATGGTGGCCACCTGTAGGATATCTTTGATCTCGTGGATGCCAACTCGGCCAAGTTCAAGTTTGAAGTGTCTTGTTACATGATTGAGCTGTACTGCGATCGATTGCGTGATCTTTTTGGTTCGCCCAAGCAACCTGCGGAGTTGAAGGTATACAACCTACGTCCGTGGCGCACCCTTTTGAAATGTCATTCTGCAACAGCATGTTTGGCGCACACGACCTCATGCCAGTTTGGATACCATCCGCCTCCGGCCGCTCACTATGCAGGTGAAATTGGACAAGCAACGCATGGTCTATGTCGAGGGCTCTCAGGTTCGCCAAGCTGCCACAGCTCAAGAATTGTACAAGCTCTTTGAAGAGGGCAACCGCAGTCGGTGCGTTTCCCCTGCTACAGCCGACCGGCATGCGCTCCGTGGACCCCTCGTGTTTCCTTTTATATTCATCGGACTGGTATCTCACGCGGTGCTCAAATTTCATCTGTTCACTTTGAAACGGTTGGGGGCTGTATCGTGGACTGTATGTATGCACGTGTGTGTTTGTATTGCCTTGCTTTCCCTTCAGAATGGTGGCCAAGACGAACATGAACGCAGAGTCGTCGCGCTCCCATCTCGTCATTGGTATCATCATCCGCAGCACAAGTTTGACAGACGGCAAAGTCACGAGCGGTAAACTAAGGTGAGTAGGATCGTCAGGTCCACGTGATGATGGTGCCGTGCGCTCTCAACGTTGGCCTCTCTGCTCTTGCCAAACAGCCTGGTCGATTTGGCCGGTTCGGAGCGTGCTGGCAAAACCGGTGCAGAGGGCCAGCAAATTATCGAGGCCAAGTCGATCAACAAATCGCTGTCGGCCCTTGGTAAGTTTCGAAAGGCAGGCGCCGGCTTGTTTGCTGCGCACACCAGTGCATGTGCTTGTTCAATGTCCTTCATGCTAACCTGGCTTGGGTGTGGTTGTCGTTTCATGAACCAGGCAATGTGATTACGGCTCTGTCAACCAAAGCCAAGCACGTTCCGTATCGTGACAATATTCTGACTCAACTGATGCAGGTTCGTTGCATCGCCTCGCTTACTTTGATGATTATTGCTCTGGCTGTTACAGTTGGCCTGCTCCGATCGCATGCGGTGTTGTTCTTTTATGCTTGTCATATGGTGGCACTGTCTAACTGGTGGCACGGTGCGTAGGACTCTTTGGGTGGCAATGCCAAGACTCTCATGTTTGTCAATGTATCCCCGGCTGACTACAATACCGAGGAAACGCTCAACTCGCTGCGATATGCCAAGCGCGTGAAAACCATTACCAATGATGCCAAGAAGAACGCCGAGAGCGAAGAAATTGCCCGACTGAAGGGCATCATTGCAAAGTACGTCTGGCCTGCTTAAACGGTACCTGAGGGGTTGGTTTCAGCAATTGAAAGAGTGCAGCGCCCAGGAGTTGCATGCTTACCTCGACTGTGCTCTGCAGGCTCAGGAATGGCGAAGAGTTGGATCCGGAAGAAGATGCCATCTGAGCAACGACGCTGCACCAACATGTTTTGATTTGATCTTGAGACCACTGATTTGTTCCTGAGTGTTGCGTCACAGCAGACTTTGTCACCTTTTGTTCAAAAGTTAGTTCTGTTCAGCCCTTGACCTACTATGACTCAGCCATGCTGAGCCGCGCACGCATCGTGGTGCCATGTAAGTGAGACGCATGTGTCCCGTATATTTTGACTCCTGGCGTCAAACCGCTTCGGTTGTGACGCACCTAATCGTCCTTCAGAGCCTTTAAAAATTGTAATTGACCCTTTACGCACAACATGGAGAGCTTGTGGATGCCCCCCCCCCCCAAAAAAAAAAAAAAAATTGCAGCAGCGTTGTGGCTGAGTTGTAGCACCTCGAACTCACGAATCATGATCAACGACAAAGCGATGCTGGGTGCTCTATAATGTCAATTTGCACGCAAGACAACATGCCAGGCCCGGGTGCAGCCAAAAAAAAAAAAAGAGCTCAAACAAATCTGCATGATACGAGTAGAGTAGATATAGAAAGGCCGACGTCTTTGAAGAAGCAAACAAAACAAGAGCAAGAGCTGACAATCTGCCCGACTGGCAGATGCAAACACTTTGGGCCTGATAAGAAGGGTTGTAGAGGCTGAACGAGACGAAGGGGAGTAGACAGCACAAGGCAACCACAGATATAGCAAAGCAGGGCACACAAGAACAAGACAGGAATGCAAGACCGAAGCATTCTTTGTCCCAGTAGTGATCCTGGAAAGCAGCATCTGTGACCAACTGCAGGACTTTCAAACACGATGAACAGCAAGAAAGGTATCGGAAGCCAGGTCACATTCCTGCTGAATGCAGCGAAGAAAGACTTTCGGTTTACAAAGGGAACTTGCACAAAGGGTCTTGATCGGCATCTATCGTTGGGTCTTTGAACCAGGGGCGGGCAGGGCTGGTTGAAGTTGAGTGCGGTGATGTTTGGCTTTATAAGAGTGTGCAACCGCCAGAGGCCTTCTTGGTCTGTGCCTGTTCCACCAGGAAAGTTTTCCAAGCGTCCTCGTTGAAGCCACCCGTCACTGCATCTGAATCCTCTGCGCGCACCGGTTCGGGCACGTCAATAGCGGCATATCCCTTCTTCTTGGCCTGCACAACAATGATCGCAATCAGGGAACGATGTGAGAGTTTGCTGCCTCGTTCTGAGAGTCCCGGCCAGGACGGCTTGGAGCTTAAGAAGGAAAAAAACGAAAAAAGATCGAACAGCCGCACATACCAGGACAATGTTTTTGTTGGAATCGTCAAAGAGGACCATTTGGTTCTTTTTGAGCTATGAAAAAGCAGATGGTGAGATGCCTGACAAGTGCCTCATCCCTCAGGAAAATGAAAGAAGAACAAGAAGAAAAACAAGAAGAAAAACAAGAAGAAGAACAAGAGGAGGAACAAGAGGAGGAACAAGAGGAGGAACAAGAGGAGGAACAAGAAGAACAAGAAGGCTGAGCATTAAGACGGAAATTCAGCTGACATACCCCCAGAACCTTGCGAAGCTCTTCCAGATGCAGATTCTTGCCAACCACTTTGGGGTTCATGCTCCGATTTTCCGGGTTCCAAGCAATAATTTGCTCATCTGATGCCAGAGGGAGGGCGGGGTCCGTCAAGACGAGGTGAGCATAAAGACGCTGCGTCCCAAACCCGGATGTTTAAAAGGATTCGTGGTAGGGCCTTTGTACGAACCGGGAATGTACTCCTTTGACTTTTCTCCAAAGGCCACATCAAGATATTTGCGGACCAAGAGCTTGCCTGCCGAGATTTGTGGCCAAGCATGACGTGATAAACACAGCGAAGATGGGCCAGTCCGTGAGAGAGGACAGCACCACAGGGGTAGTGGCGGCTTATGTCCAGCCATGGGCCTCTCGCCAAAAAAGCAGCATGTGCGCACCAGAGAGCAAGGCTTCCTCAGCATCATCGGCAAAGGTTGCGATGCAAAGTTTGCCGTTCTCGCAAATGACGGGGGCTACGCGGCGAAAGAAATCCAGGTCGGCAAAGTTGATTTCAATGTTCTTATCATCCAACATGGCCGTCTGTCAGCATGTCAAGTCATTGCGATGGCCATGGCACAAAGCAGAGCGGAATCGCGTGTGAGATGGGTGGTACACGGCTGAGGCTGGGCGAAATTCCACAACAACGCTGGGATGAACGTCAGACAACATTGCCGTGGGATATACCTGAAAGATGGCACCAGTTGTGTGTTTCACCGTGATGGTTTTGTCAAAGTCCAGCACAATGGCCTGCGGAAGATGGGGGCGCACAGTCAGAATGATCCAAATGAAAAAGTGACCAAAGAGCGAGGCGAATTCCGATGGCAGGCAGTGTATGAGCATGTCCACGACCGAAGCGGTCGGCGGGCATCGTACCTTGATGCCAGAGTCAGCGGGCCAAACCGGGGTGCCCATGTTGAAGGGTGCTGATGAAAAGGAGCAGCAACACGCAAGCACGCGACGTGGTCGCCGTCGCGCAGAACAAGCTAGCCCGCTGGCGACGCGGGAGCGTTTTCAACACACAAGGAGGGAACAGGGACGTCCCCCCGCAGACAACAGTGGCCGAACAATAGATCAAGCCAGCGGCAGATGGATGGCTCCCCTGCGCAAGTCGTCGGCAATGTATTTTTCAAAGTCAGCAACCAACGTCACGACTCTCAAGCCCGCTGATACTGTAATCCAGCCTAAGTACACCGACCCAACGACGGCACGCAGCAACCGATGAGCATGACCCCGAACAGCACAGCACAGCACAGCACAGCTCGGTCCCAAGAACGAGGCCGGACAACCCAAGACACCGCGAGACAAAAGGACACAGAGAGAGAGAGACAGACAGACAGACAGACAGACAGAGACAGAGACAGAGACAGAGACAGAGACAGAGAGAGACGGAGAGAGAGACAGAGAGAGACAGAGACACAGAGACAGAGAGAGACGGAGACAGAGACAGAGAGAGACGGGGGCAGAGAGAGACAGAGACACAGAGACACAGGCACGAAGACAAACCCTTGCAAATAACAAAAGAAAATGATCGCGTGGGTCAGATACACAGCAACGATAAAGGGAAAAGGGGCGGAGCTGATGATGGGATGCTCCTGCTGGTTCCGCCCATCTTCTCTCTGTTGTGTGTGTGTGTGTGTGTGTGTGTGTGTGTGTGTGTGTGTGTGTGTGTGTGTGTGTGTGTGTGTGTGTGTGTTTTCTCCTGCTGCAGATCATTCTGACACGTGGTAGCACTATCTTTGTGCAAAGTGTGGCTTTTGTGACGCTTGTACCTGTTTTGGCGGTAAACCTCAGCTGACATTTGTCGACAAAAATTAAAAAAAAAAAAGACTCATTTTCCTTGGAGGCGGTGAAACGGCAGACCGGTTGGCCAGACACCTGCCGGGGCGCGCGCGCACACCACTCAAAGACCGAAAAGGGCCATGTCTAAGATTACCACGCCCTATACCATCCTTTGCTACGGCGATAGCAACACTTGGGGTGCGCAAGCAACTCAACCAGCCCCACGTGCCGTCAGTGCGTGGCCCTCTGATCTCACAAGGCTCGGCCTCCCCTGAATCTCTAGGTTATGATGCCGTGACCCAGACGCGACTCGGCGTGTAAGTGAAGTTGTTGGTGTTGTCAAAGTCGCGTCTCGAGCGCGGCCGCGTCTCTTCAAAAGTGCTTGGTGCAAGGAATCACCTGCTCCGGCTCACTGGTGGCACACCACACCCATGAATCAGGGATGTGCGATGGACGCGCCGCCTCCAAACCATGCTGGGACCAGCTTTTGACGTCATTGAAGCAGGCCTCAACGGGCGTACTACCTGCCTGGATGATCCTTTGGGCTCGGCCAACGCCACTTACTCTTGCAATGGCCGCACTGCCCTTCCTGTCGTGCTGCACACCCACAAGCCTATCGATGCGGTGGTGCGTCCTTCCCTCGCCCTCCCTGACCTCATGCAAGCTGCTTGCGCTGCCGACTGGCCTGCGAGCTTACACCTTGGCCCGGTGCTTTAACACGCTGCGCGTGCGTAGATACTCTCCTTGGGAGGCAACGACCTGCAAGACCGCTTTCGCATGACCGCGCCGTTGATTCGTGATGCGCTGCGCAACCTCATGCTGGATATGCGCCGCCACACCGTCACCCGCGCAGAGCAACCCCTGCAGGTCAGCAAACCCGATGGGTCAAAGGCGCCATACCCGCGTCCTGCCCGTTACTCACACACGTTCCTTCGCATGCCTCGCGTGCTTGCAAAAATCCACCCTGCACCTATGCTCTGCGGCCCTCAACTTACCCAACCATTCCTGCCTGCATCCTGCCCTTGGGTTAGATTATTTTGTGCTCACCGATTCGCCTCGAGCTGACGCCCATTGCCCGTGACTGGGGTTTCAGTGAGACCTCAGCCGCGACGGCGCTAGCCTTGGTGCGCTTGCTCATGCGATGCCGTGCTTTTTTATTGCGCTTCATCCTTGCTCCCACTTTTAGCCAATCCTCACGCTTCTTCCTTTCGCTTTTGACCTTGTGACTTGATGATCAGCCCCCCCTACTGGCAGCCCTAGCCGGTGAAATGAAGGTGCTATACCTAGACTGTTTGGCTCTTTTTGAACCAGACCCCTACGACGGCGTTCACTTCCGAGTCGAGGACCACGATGCCATTGCTTCACAGCTCGTGAACAAGATTGCAACCATCCCCAACGCTCCGCCCCCCTTGTTCATGTCCCCGGCTTCGAAGGACACTCCCACAAAACTCGACCATTGACGCCATTCTCGGAGCGGAATAGACCAATTTACAAAATCAGCTATGCTTGGGATGCTTTATGCATCGCACGAAATAATGGCCGTCCCAACCAAGAGATAACTAGGACTGACCACACCTCGCCATCGATGACTGAGAAAGATGGTGGTATTATTATGATGAAAAAGAAATCGATTACGATCAGGCGCAGCTCAAGTGCAGCTTGTCCAGCCAGAAAACAAAAGGCTTCAAGTTAAAAACGACTACCACGCGTCCCACCACGAAAACACCATCGCCACACTCAACATCGTTCATCGCGGAGGCTCCTATTCCTTATCACCTATTCACATGTCAATGTGTTTTTTTTTTTTTCTTGGTGACAAAGAATAAGAAGGGCCACAACGCAGCACACACATAAAAAGAATCCAAGAATGGCTGCTCAGAGAACATGAATGCCAACAATCCAAGTCTGGATCATAAGTACATGCAAAAGAAAAAGAAAAAAAATATGTAACGCATGTTCTGAGCACCTTCAAGGCGTTGACGCTCAAAATTCAAACCCCTGGCTACCCTGAGCCCCGCTGAGCTTTACGGCATGGTTTTGGTCGTAGGAGCCAGGCTCAGATAAGAGTTCTTGGTGACAACCACCGCACACATTGACCTGATCCATTTGCGTGCTTGGGTTTGTAACCCCAAAGTAGCGCTTCTCAATCGACTTGAGCGTTGTGGGCGAGCAGGAGTGGCAAACAATGGTGCCGCAGTGGCTACAGTGGGCCTGCAAACACGCAGTCAAAACAAAGTCAACCAGTGCAAGTCAAGAGCACCCGTCAAAACGTCCCGCTGACCCTTTGTCCCCTCGTCTCATCTCTATCGGGCTTCCGACACGAACCCGCTTGTCAGAGAGGTTCTTGCGACAAAAACCACAAAACCCTGCGCCACGCTCCAAACGGGCCATAAAGGCATCAAACGACTTGGGTTGCTCTGATCGGTGCTGTTGCGTCCACAGCTCATCCTCTGTATCACACAGAACCCGTTACAGCATGTCTGATATGAGAAACCGTGACGCCACTGTACGCGTGTGCGCATGCCCGAGGCCGACTGACCAGCTACCAGCACCTCCGACAGCTCATAGTTGAACTTGGTAAGATGCAAATAGGAAAGTGCCTAAAGGTTTGAGTTTGGTCCAAAACATCATGAGAGCATGTTTGTGGACACGGGGAGGAAGGGCGCGATCCAAACGCAACACCCACCTCTTCATGGGAAAGCTGATGGTGGAAGGCGAGCTTGCGGGTCAGTTGCTTTTTGCGCAATGCCACCAGCACCTCGAGCGAGACGTTCTCCTCCATTCTGCAGCACGACAGTGAATGAGCAGGGCAAGTGATGCGCTGGTGATGCGGGATGATGGCCCAAGAGGCAAACTACGTCACAACCAAAGTCGGGTGTCTTACTTGGGCTGGAAATTTTTGGGCTTGGGTACGATGATGGTCTGCCGCCCGTAGAGAGCCACATTGGTGAAAATTCGATTGAGACGCGTAATATCTTCCACATTGCAATCTAAGACCAGCCAGCCGCAAGATGAGAGACGATCAGGTCCACACAACAAGGGCATGGATAAAAGAATTCGAGCGGGCAAAAACCCACCGTAGCGAATGGCCAACCCTGGCAGGGTATCCCGAGTGGTGACGTGATGAATGAGGGTATCCTCATTTTCAGCATCGCTTTCTGCGGCCTGGCTCAGCGCCCGGACTTGGTTGGCCAGGAGGCTGAACATGGAAGCCTGCATCGCGTCGCAACCCTGCGCGCTACGACGCATGACCGCGTCCACCACTTGGTCCTACGAATCAGGGTAGAAGAGGTGCACTTAGGAAGGAACGGTCTGTGTGCAGGTGATCTGGAAGCCTTGACCTACCATGGACATGTGCGGGGCCATGGGGCACACGACGGTGTGCATATCGAGGTTGCGGCGGGCGGCTTGATGGGCACACCCCTTGTAGGGGCAGGAGACGACTTCATCCAAGCAGGTACTCTCGTGGGCTCGCAGCTCGCCCAGTGGGCAGCTGGTCCGACAAAACGAACAAGTGGCCGGTTGGAGGTCCAGCAGTGCTTGCACTTCAGTATCGTGAGTGAACATTCCATAGCTGTGTGGACGACGGCACTGCGGAACGTCACAGACGATGAACATTGCATGAGGCACCAAAGGAGAAGCGAGACATCTGCATGCGAGGCACTCGCGACCAGCTACGTACATTTGGACAACTGGGGTTATTGGTGCTGCTGTACCACCGGTTGAGACAGGCTCCACAGTAGATGGAGGTGCATGAGGGACACGAACGATGATCAATGGCCTGTGAGAAGCAGATGTGGCACTGGAATTTGTCTTCAGTCGGCGACGTCGGCGAATTGGGTGAGACCTGCGCAGGCAAGCCACAAGATGAGATGTTGCAAAGCAGCCCCGGGCCACAGTTGAACCGACAACAGTTTGATCGACACACGGCATTTGACAGGCGCAACATACTGGTTCTGCAGCGGCTTGATCCTCGACTGGCGCAGACGGCTGTACGCACGAGCCGTACGAGGGCAAGGCAGATGGGCGACTCATGCTCATCGGTGCAAGACTGAAAAAGATAATACCACCTAATCCGTACAAATGATAGCCAACAAGTGGGCAATCACCGTGTCGCCCGTGTCGCCCGCCGTGTCGAGAAAGACCGGTTGTAATCCTTGACGCTCCAAAAGGTTTCAAGTTAGAGAGAGAGGCGCGCGAACAGGAAGAAACAGGAAAATGCATGAGGCGCGCATTTGTGTTTGCCACAGTTGTTTGGGTGTGATTTGGAGAAAGTTGTGTTGTTCTCAAGCAAACTGTGTTAAACGTCGCACTATATCTGTTTTAAGTGTGATTTTGAACACGGTTTTATGACTAAGGTGGCACACCTAACTGTGGGTGCACATGTAACGTCGGGGCTTCAGGAAATGCTTTGAGAGTGGGGAAGGTTCCGACTTGTTGACCCATAGCATAGGAGACCAACGACATGGACAACGACTCTGGTTTGATTTTTTTTTTCAATTGCAGGTGCATTGGGGAGGAGGGATGCAGACCACCATGGCATGGCGGTATGAACGTTCGACCCGGCACGGCCCAGCCCATCTTCACTAGCGCTCGGCGCTTTACAAGCAGTACAATGCCAAAATCATCGGGCACATAAAAAAAAAAAGCCATCTCCCGCCATTGGAGGTCCTACATGCGAGCTGATTGATTGTCGAGCGAGTCGAGGTCGTCCAATAGATCAAGGATATCCTCCTCATCATCATCATCCTCTTCCTCAAAGCTTTTAGAGGAACTGGCAGCAGAATCCATGTCTTCATGGCCGGGCTGTTCTGAACTCAGTGCTGCCGCCACCTCCAGGAGATATTCCTGTGGGGTGCCGTGTCGCTGTGCACACCCCAGCAACCAGACGCATATGCAGAGAGGTGTGAATGAGATGACATAGTCCCAAAACGTTGCAAAGAAACGTGCGCCGGTGATCGGTCTACAATGGCGCTTGCTCCTTGCCCTGCCACAGACTGGACCTACCAAGCTTTGAAAAAGAATTTCCGGTTCCAAAAGGTTTGACGAGTAATTCTCAAGCATGGCTGTGACCAGATGCTCTTTTTTGGCTCCCGAACTCTGTTGTGGCAAAGAGCCCAGCAGGTGCAGGTGGCACACCACCAGCAATTGTAAATGAGAAGCGAGTCATCACAACTTTCCAAACACATACACTCTCAAGTGCCGCCGAGCACGCACCGGTTTAGGCCCATCCATCAGATGCAAAACCTGCACCATTTGAGGCTTGGTGGCTGACGCCATGAGGTAGCGCTAAAAGGCATTCAGAACGCCTCTGCCGTGAGATGAAAACACCGTCTCAAGGGGCCAGCCGATCTTGACAACATGGTTTCGACAGTCGCACAACCCGCACCTGGCGCTCCAGGCCCGCCCGTTGAAAACCGAGGCGCACGCCTTCACTAAACACCCTGTAAGTCCACCACGTTGGTGAGTCTGATGACATGATGCCATGGCGCTCGGACAGCACCGTGCGGATGTTGGGACACACTCAACACTAAATTCAGGTGCACAAAGGAGCGCACCAGAGACGTACCGCTTTGAAAATATTTTAAAGGAAGGTCGTGGACCTCCCTCGAGAACCTCGTTATTCAAAATGCGACCCCGATTCTTGACAAACTGTTGCAGAGCCGCTTGCCACTGCGCAGAGTAAGCCCTGTTTGGCATAAAAGGAGGCAGCCAGCATTCTGTTAAGAATGGCGGAAAAGAATGGCGGAAAAGAGAAGGAGGACGGAGGGGGACTCAACATCTCTTTGGAGGTCACTGGCTTACCGCAATTCCGGGATCTCCATGGCCTGGCGCATGATGGTTGTGCCGCGATCCAAAAAAGCCTTGCCCTCGTCAAAGCAGCACTCGTGCCAACTAGCACGCCAGGCTGTGCTCAACTAAAAATGGCCGCCCCAATTGGGTGAGCAGACCCACGAAGCCATTGTCGCAAGCAAAGCCGAGGGCACTTTTTTTAATCTCTGGGCTTGAGTTGAACGCACCATGCTCAGCAACTTGCTCTTCGTCTCATCGCTGGCAGAGCTACATACATCGGAAGGAGACAAAACCATGCAACCAAGAATGGTGCTTGAGACCCTACTCGTATCTATTCCTTAAACATTTCGAGAGGGATGCCCATGGTGCCACAGTACACCGCGCGAGCAAGCTCAAATCAGCAGACAAGCGACAGGATACCTCTTGTCAATGTTATTGCCCATCAAGGTAAGGACGGCATTGCGTTCCAAAACAATCTCCTCCAGCTGCACCAAGCAAGTGCGAGCTATTTGCATCAAGTAGGAGGTCTGCAACTTGGAAGGCTATGCCCCTCCCCCCGAGGTCGACATGAGTCCAGCGCTGCCAGATAGCCATGACCTGAGCGATGCGTCATTGAGCACTCTTGTTGTGAGACGACTGACCTTGGTGCGCGGTGGCTTGCCGCCTTGTGCGACTGCCTCTTCTCCTTGCCGTTTTTGCAGATATTCGAGACGGCGCACCTAAGCGAGACGACGGATAGTAAAGTCAGCGACGCACAAAAACTGTGCCATTTGGTCCTCATTTAGCTATTGTAAGAGTCCGCATTCTAACCTTGCGAGCTGTGTCAACTTGAGTAAGGAACCGTTTGAGGCCCTCTGTATTGGCTGGGCTGCCACGCACGCGACCAGTCACGCGACCCACTAACATGCAATCCAGCAGTACAACAAAGATGTGACCCCAAAAGTCAGTCCTTTGTCCTTTTCCGCGCAACTTCAAGAACAACGCAGCCCGATGAAACATACGGGCTTCCGCATAACCCGAAACGCGCTGGCGCGAGATGACGTGTAAGGGACAGAAAGATGTCACCAGTACAGCCGCATTGCGGACCCCGGCGGGCTGGGAGGCCAGAACATTAATCTGATTGTGCAGTTGCGTGCCCATCTCGGCCATCACGTTGAGACGCTAAACAACACACACACACACACACACCCGCCCCGACGAAGATAGGGGTGAGTGACAGCGAAATGGAAAAGGCATGCGCTTAAGACAAAAGAGCAAGAGCACAGCACCTCAAACGACCACAAAAGGTGGGCCAAGTCGTTGCGCCACATGGTCTTGATGTTTTTTGTAACGCGGTCGCACACGCTGTGGACCACGTCAGCAGACAACTAGATTTGGATCCAGGCAACCATCAAAGCAAGAACACCAATCAAAGTGGCCAAGTTTCTGCGCGATCTAGCAAGCTAAGCGCGCACTCACCGGCTGTATCTGATCAGCATGCACACCCAACGCCCACATTAGCAGGGCTACTTCATGGTTGCTCAGCTATCAAGCATCACGACCAAGCAGTGAGCCAGAGGTAGCAACCGATTGGAAGGAAGCCCAGCAGCGCCTTACCTCGGCAAAAACCTCGTTGTCCAACTGACTCAAAAGCTGGCGCATTGCCTGTGCTGTGCTTGCGGGCAACTGACTGGCCATGGCCAAAGACATGGCAACACCGACCAACGACTACAAAAGTTGAAGATTCACACATGAGAAGAAAATCTACTCGCGACGAAAGATGAGCAAGGCTCAATGGAAGATTCATCCACTAACCTTGGGATTCGCCTTGATGAAGGCCGGGCGCAAGTGTGGAAAGAGCCACAGCGCTGCATCGCCGGCGAAAGAGCGATGACCGTAGGATCGAGCGGCCACATCCACGTGTGAGGCTTGGAGCAAGACGTCATGAGCGCTAAGACTACAAAAGGCGGCTGGGCCGAGAAGTGCCAAGTCGCGCTTGGTAGCTGGCAGCAACAGAGCCGGGTTTGAGGACTGTAGCGCACGCACAATGCGTGCACATTCAGCTGGGGTGTTGATGTTGAAAGTCAGCGCGATGCGCAACGTTCGCGCAGCCGCCTAACGGAACCAGACCACAAGATATGAAATGGAGAGGAGGTCGGGCGATGATTGTCGGCGGACGTTGGTCAACTTGTTGACGAGTCGGTGCGAGAACTAAAACCGGCCCCACGCACATACCTGCAACTCCTCGGGCTCAAGGTCTTCGTCGGCTGATGCACTGACGGTCTCGACCACGCGCGTAGCGAGAAGTTGCAAGGGCTGTGACTGGGTGAGCACGCGACGGACTCGACGAATGGCTCGATCCTCCAGGCTGACGGACATGTGACGCTAGACAAGGGTGCGGGCACATCCACGCAACGGCATCAGTGGTTAATCACCACAGCAGCGCTGTATCGACTGACGGGGCGACGAGCCTTGTTGGCAAACTGGAGACGGCGATACCAGCACCAATGCATTGGATGTGTTGCGAGCGCCTACCTCATCGATCTGAAAGAGCTGATCCAAGACTGTCGTGCGCAGAAACTCCTGTGGCAGTCTCGTGGCCTCGTAAGCCAAACGCTGTAACCAGGGGGTTGGGCGTGGCACCTGCTGAATGAGGTCGCGGGCGAGCAAATGTTTGGCCCAGAAGAGAACGAGCATGACGAAGCGCTCGCTATCCAGTCCGTGCACAGCCTGGGCCAGGATGGTTGATGCCGGGGCTTGATCGTGCAGTAAAAGCTCATCCACACGTTGCGCTAGGGCGTCGTTGGGAGCAATGGCCTCGGGCTGAAAGTGCGGTGCGCGGTCTGGCTTGGGGTGTCGAAAACGAGGCGTGGGCTCCGTGGAGGTATGATGCGAGGGTGTTGCCGGAGCAGGGCTTTGTTCCACGAGATCTGCGGTGGCTTGGAGAAAATTGGTGTCAAGTCCAGCCGGCCCCTGCTGCGGAGCGAAAACATCATCAACATTCACCGACGCTTCTTCCGGCGTCTTCGAATCTGCCACTGGTACAGCTGGTAGGCCATCATCAACACTTTGGTGAGAGGCGACGCTTGGGGGCTCAAGGTGGGCATCATTTGATGGCGTAGTGCCCAGGTTTAGGCCGTTTACATCGAGATCAACGTCGGCCGAGTCCAAAGAGGGGGTGGGCGCCACAGAAGCGGCAGAAGGCGTGGGGAGGGGGGTCACTGTCCAGGGTGTTCTCCTGTTGGCAGGGCTCTCTGAAAAAGCAGCGCCGTTTAATTCCAAATCAGACGTTGTGCAAGCCGTTGGATGGAGCAGGCACCACCCCTCCTTGTCGAGGTGAGGCACGACAATGCGGGTCCAGACGGGCTCGGGGCTCGCCTGAAACTGAGCCCAGTCAGCATCATTCTCGAGCGCCTTTGCAGACTCGGGAGTGGGCCGAAACTCGAGCAATTGAAGCTTGGTTCCTGGAGCAACCACGCCAATGCGGTCTCCTTTGATGGCACTACGCAGCGCCAACCGGCCTTCGTGTTGATACACTCTTGTAATGATGCCTGACCGCAGATAGGCGGTGAGATGTGGCAGGGCTAGCACAGCACGGCCAGACCACTTCCATCCAGCTGCTTACCTCGAGTCTGAATATTTGACCTCCATCCCACGCCTAGACCCCGTGCAGCGAAGACCTGGCGCCACGCCATGGTGACAAGCGATGCCGGGGTTGGCAACACGTGGTGCCCACTCGAGCGCCGGGCAACACGCTAAGAGCTCAAACACACTAGCCCTCGTCGGCAGCCAACCTTGACTAGTCTCCTCACCCGACACAACCCTGGCTCCCCAGCAGCTATCCTCGGCCCGAGCGGCGTCGCCACCAAACACATAAGGTGAGCTCAGAGCCGAGCTGCACCCGAGCACACGAAGAAGTAAAAAGTGCGAAATGAACTCAAGCATGCGCGAAAGGGAAACCACACACACACACACACACACGAGGCGTCTCTGTCTTCATCTTTCTCTCTCTCTCTCTCTCTCTCTCTCTCTCTCTCTCTCTCTCTCTCTCTC